AACTTGGGTAATCTCTTGAAGAGGGAGATTGTTTCATTGTTGTTTCTAACCACAGAGTTCCTTAATTTTAATATTCAGAACCAATAACAACTAAAATTTCCGAAGGGAAGAGGCATAGTAGGATATATTTAGCTTGTTGGTTGGCAGGACTGTCCTGCAAAATAACACCTTTTAAAACCTAGGAGAAAAAATTTTTAAATCAAGGCGTTGACATTGGAAGTCATAAATTTTATTATCTTAAATCATATCCTCGAGAGAGCAGATTCGTGAAAGATTTTGGATGGCTATAGTAGTGTAGTATGATGCCATTTATATTCTGCGGTGAGTCGATATGACGTGGATAAGAGTAATTTCGTGCATTTTGTAAATTCTGTTCAATGACACTGTACCATGTTTACGAACATTACGAGATTCAATGGGGACATTGACCGGGCTGTCCGGTGTGTATGTGACATTCGACCAGAATGGACGAAAGTGCAGTTTCGGGAATTTCGAATTATTAGCAGCTAACCTTCCGAATTGACAATTTTGAAGGATTAACGGTGTGGAACGATTAGTCAAACTGTGAAGGCTAGAATATTCTGGTATTTTAAATTATTTTTCGAACGATGACGTCATATTTCTGAGAAACATCAAGTCGGCCATTTTGGAAGAAATCCTGAACAAAACACAACAACAATAGTTGCGACGGCAATAACAACGATAATCGCGATAAAAAACAACAACGAGAGTTGAACGAACAGCAGAATTAGCAGAGACATCTCCGAGTTGCAACGATTGTGTCGCTACAATCGTTTCAAGGCCGTTCACAACAACATTGAAGGGTAGAAAAACAGCCTTCCGGAAAGAAGATAAGGGTGTTATTTCTCCAGATTCAAGAATCCGGAGGGGTCTCGAGACTTGAACTGAAATCAATTTATATAAACTTTTAGCTTCCCTATTATGTCATGAATTGAATTTATTTAACATCTGAATTCATTTTCTGACGATGAGAAGCTAGGAGTTAAGGGAAAGGGTTGATCCATCTTCGATGGAGATGATGATTTTTATCTACTGAACAAAAACAATGATAATATAAAAAGTAGTAGTAGCCCTGTTTTTAGGAGTGACCTCGTGATCTGAAGATACTGAGACCCAGCCATGAGCTCACTAATTCTGCATGTAAGTAAGTTAATTTGAGCGTTTTGGTCGATGCCGGAGAACAGTAACGTTTTTGTCGACCCGATGTTAGAAAGACCACCAAAAGATGGCTTTGGTAGAGACTGTGAAAAGCATGTAGAGCTTAGTTTAGACGCTGGCCAGTCGTTTTATAGCTTAGCTTTATTTTCCGTCGATATGCACTTCCGGGTGAATGTTACATTTTAGGCGTGACCTCGTGGTCTGGAGATACTTAGACCCAGCCATGAGCTCACTTCTTTTCATATAATTAAGTTAATTAGAGCGTTCTGATCGAAGCCGAAAAAAGTAACGTTTTTGTCGACCCGATGTTAGAAAGACCACCAAAAGAACTGGCTTCGGCAGAGACAGTGAAAAGCAGTGAAAAGCTTTGTTTTCCGTCGATATGTACTTCTAGGCGAATGTTACATAGATGTTTTTATGGCGCTCCTGGGTGTTATTTTTTTTAAAGATCTTTTCTTCTATATTTGAATATCTGGAAGTATACAAACTAATCAACAAATAAAAAAAATTCTTTAGCGCCGCCAGCTCGTTAACGGAAATTATAATTTGCTCTTTCCTTTGATCAATTTTGCTTCTACAAAAATGCCTTTTTTTCTGGGCATGGCAAAATTTTTATCACCCTCTTGAGTCATCTACGCACGAAGTATCAAATTTGGTGATAGTTAAGTCTTAGCTTTTGGCCAATCTGTGGCCGTTTTGTTTTTCCAAACCATCAAAAAAATTTTGATTTTCTTCAGTGCACCAGCGTTCCTGGAACTGCAATGATGAGACAATTTTTTTGCAAAACCGACTGTTATTGAAAAATAAGTGTTCAACCTTAAGAAAACTCCTATCATCTAAGTTTTTTCAAATTTTCCGACCAAAAAATTTGCCAAAAATTGTCTTTTTTTTACTTTTAGCGTAGAAAACAGCGGTAAAATTTCTCAACACAAAAATTTCGAAGTTTTTGCTTAAAACATAGTCACCGTATAGGAGACCGTGTAAGTAATATGTTAGTCAGTTCTAACTTTTTGTTCGAGTTCTGGGAGTATAATGAAACTAATATAAGTACGAGATTACTAACGAGCATAATATGAGTCGTTCGGTGTAATATGAAGTTGTGATTGCTCTTTTGTTGATAAAAAAGAAGTTTTTGTAACGGAATCTTTTTACGTCAAGTACAGTTGATGTCTCGCTCAGCGTTTGGAAAAACTGTAGATTTTTGATTTTTTCAAATTTTTGAAAAGACAGATCTATTCTACTCAAACGTTTCAGTAAGCTGCTAATACAATTCCAGCGCAATTGTAACAGTGCTTGGATCTCTTGATAACTCTCATTCATCAATCCAGCCGCAAAAAGAGCGTTCAATGGTCCAAACACTTAAAATGGTCCAAAAATTGTTCCGAAGAAGAGTTATCAACACCAATGAGAATACCATAAGGTCTCGACTTAATTAAATTTTTGTAGTTAAAATTATCAGAGCTAACAAAAAAGAGAGAACATGCAGCTGAAAAATAGTGTCATTGGTTAGAATTGTCATGATAAGATCGATTTTTAGACATATTTTTGTGATTGTATTCTAAATCAATTGTTGTTACCGTTTTAGCGTTTTCATTGTTTAATTTTCCCAACACTTCCTTAACCTCCTAAAATTACAGCCAGTGCAAAAAAGACTTGCAGATACAAAAAATTCACGTCTATATATCTGAGGTAAATAATCAAATAAACAGCGGGAGTTTTTTTGAATGTTGATAATTTGTTGGAACGCAAACAAAAGTTTCTCCCCAAGCCCCTATCAGCAAACAATGAATTAAAATCACATGAGTAATCGAACACGTTTTCACAATCAGCAATAAATAAATCGCTCACAGTGCCACACTTTTGTTTCGCAAAAATGCGCCATGTGATTTGTTGGAGCACATTGAATTGAAATTGCTTTTTGACACTATCTCGTAAGTCAACTTTAAAATTCTTCTCTGAATTTGAAACTAGTTCGTAATTGAAAGTTCGTAATCGTAGTTCTAAGTTCTTTCAATTTCTTTTATTTTGTTTCAAAATTTGACAAATTTGTCAGTAGCTAATGCATTGCCCGAAACTGGCCGCCGGACTTAGATAGTGTTGTCAAATTACTGTTTTTACAATAAAATTCAATGCACATGAAGGATTAAATTACTGCTGCCAACAGTTAAGATACACTGCTTAAATCGTTGGCATTTTTTTTGTTATATATCATAAAAATCTTGTTCAATTTAAACAAGCGAATCTCTACTAGGTCGAAAGTTCATTTGCGCGAGAGAAATATGCCAGTTAATTTGATTTATATATTTGACAAGGCCAAATAATTAGGACCGCAAAAACTGGAATTGAACCCCGAGACTTGGACCCCGAAAAAGTATAAGGTATCATGTCCCTTAACATAAAGCTAATCTTAGCGAGATCTAAAAGTAGGAGTTCTCCTGCTTATGGGGTGGTAAACTTTTTTCGTTTTTAAAATCCTAGGACACATTTCCTAGGACTTTGCTTGAGTGAGGACAGGACCATAACTCTCCCCTTAGGAAGGACCCCATTTTCGATCCGAGACAAGATACAACACTACACTAACGTAATGGTTTACAGTTCCATTTTTATAATTAAATTGTACAAACGGGCCTCCTAAAGCTCGCTGGTACAACCTCCTAAACGCTTTTTTTCAAGTTTTTTCATTTCTATTTTTTATAGAGCTATTTTTTGTGCCAGTTTTTGTCAAAAAATTTCTTTTGATCATCGAGGCAGACGAAGTTTGCCGATAATGTCCTTCTACAATCACGGGACATAGATGTTGCAACTTCCTGCTTTCAAGTGATGAGCTGAACAATTTTTTTTTCGTCTGTGTCGTCTGTTTTTCAACTGTATCGCGGTTGAAACTTGGTCTGCCTCGATATCGCGGTTGAAATTTCGACAAAAGATGAATAAAACTGTTTTGTAGCCTTTGAATGGAGAAAAATCGCAAAAATTGTTTTTGCCGCATTGCTTGGTCTTTCAATCAGAATGGATGAGAAAGTCTTCTTTACCACCTCCTCTATCAAATGACCAAAGAAAGCCTTAAAAGCCATTTTTTGTTAAAAGGCTAAATAACAATTTCATCAATCATACGTCAAAATTTCAACCGTATCAGCAAACAGCAGTAATTTCAATGCTGTAAATCTAAATGTTGCAACTTTTCTGTTCCCTGGCTGTAACTGAATATCATTTCAAAATGTGGGGATAGATGTGCAGTCTTCACTTTTTTTCAATCAAAAGAGAGAACTCCAATTCGCATTGATAGAAAATTAACGATAAACGATATCTTGACATTTAAAGTTTTCTATCTTGTAGGATCAATTTTTTTGAGATATAACGGTTTTCAAACAGTTATTCTATAGCCGCTACATTTATTCGGAGCAGAATTGTTCCGATAACAAAAAGTTCCTTTTCTGCTATTTTTTAAAGAAACATTTGGGATTGTACAACAAGAGCTTCTATTTTCAATCAGACGGACTCCAAACAACTGAACCAATCTTAAAAATAAAATCCTAAATCTTAACTTTTGAAGAGAATAACAAAACTTATATTTTTGGACGTGTTTTTATTCAAACAAGGTTTGGCGATTGAAACCCAAAATATTTTTTCACACTTAAGAAATTTTTTAGGGGATTGATGACTTGAGATTGAAATTAAATTGAAACGCTTTCTGATATCAGATCGAAAATAAAACAAGATTGTAATGAAGTTCTGGGGGTTTGAAAGTTCTGGGCGTTAATCTTTTCATTTTGAAATATAATAGAAAATTTACAAAGAAAAGACCATTACGTTCACAATTTTTTAAAAATCTTTTAGTTATTCGAGTTTTTATCATGCAACTGATCTGGAACTTTCCCTCGGAACTTTTCAGAAATGGATCAGTCTCTAAGTCCAAGTTGAGTCATTTTCCTCTGTGCATAACTCATCACCACAAAGCTGGCTCCGTTGGAGAGCAGTGACCGACAAGTGCCAGGTGTTATGCCTCTGTAGAGTGCCAGACTGCTGCCGCGTTCTTTCACCACAATTGAACATCGCTGACGGAGCGTCAAATTAGCATCACCGTAGTTTCCTTGCAACTGAAATTATTTTGATTTTTGATAAACTCCCATCAAGTTAATATATATGTAGTGGTGGCTCAAAACCTAACATTTTTTTCCCAAAGTGAAAAATCACAAAAATATAACATTCATAAGACCTCAAGTTCTAGGGATGGCCTTCTGAAAATGGATATCGTAAGAATGAACGAAATTAATTTGGATTAAGAGAGGTTGGTTTTCTAAGTGTGTGTGCGTGGGAGGGGGGTATTTGCTCTTCTTTCAATCAAAATTGCCACTTTAAAAAATTTATCATCAAACTTTTTTAAAGCGTATTTGTTATCTAAAAACGCTCGTCGATAATTGATTAAAAAAGTGCATAAGGTTTTGCCTCGATCGAGACGGGGGAATCCCTTATGAGCGAAGAACCGAATGCGTAAAAATTTTATCAACCAATCAAAACTCAGTATTCATAAATTCGAAAGAAACAAGCGATATGTTTTTTTAGACAGATGAGCAATAAAATCTGAGTTTTGGAAGGATTTAAAAGGGCGTTGACTTGTTTGAATTTTTTGCGCATCTTCGCATGATAATAGATCCCCCCTTGGGACTTGAACTAACTTGGGATTTGATTAATTCCAGGGGCCACACAACCCACCATGCAAAAGTGGCTGCACATCCGGACACCAGAAAAGAGCCCAGAAGAGGCCGACTGAAAAAATCTTTATAATTCCGTCTGACGTAATCGACGATGACGAAGTAGGTGGTAACTAGTCCCGCAGTACGAAGCCACGTGATTTTGTATCCGTTGTAAGCCTCCCTTATTCTCCAAGTTTGCCCAATTTGACGTCGTATTTTCACATATCTAGCAAAAACAACAAGGAAGTAAACCCGCATTTAAGTAAAGTGACAAAAAAATATATTATACGGGATTTTCGGATGGCTTAAAATGTCGTAAACATGATCGATTTTCATGTTTCTCTCACGAAACGAAGTGGATTATGAATCAATTACGCTCCATTATTCGCACCTGCAAATTTTTTTTCAGCTGCGACCATTTTTCTGAAAGCTACGGGGTTCAAAAGCTACGTGTACGGACAAATCGCGATCAATATGGCTCAATATTTTATTTGATGCAAGCAATTAGGTTTCTTTAAATACATGATTTTGTACTTTTCAAAGCGTCTGGAAAAAAAATTTCACAAAAGATTGAAGAAAAAAATCAATTTCATATATGTTTTTTTTTAAATTTCTTCATCTTTCGAAGTTTAAAAGTATTTCATGGACATCAAAGGGCAATTTAAACGCGCATGCCTTTGAGTTGATACGGTCTTTCCTGTTTATACTTCCTAAATTATCTTTCAGAAATTGTATTTGAGTTACTACTATGATTTTGTCCCTTGAGTTTTCATTTTGTCAGCAGTTTTGCTACTTTCCGAAGAACAACTGGTTGAACAAAACTTTTAGCAGCTCGGTTGCAAACAATCAACAGGAGTTTCCCAAAAAAGTTGAAAGAAATTTTTAAAAAGTTCGAATAATTTTGTCGACCTTTTTGGCCAATCAAATTGTTTTTCCGAGGTATCCAAAAAAAAACAATAAATACCCCTATACAAAATCTGTGCCATTTTGGAGCCATTTAGCACAACCCACCAACCGAATAACTAGGTGATATAATTATATGTTCTACTTAAATCTAGTAATTCAGCCACTTCTCATGCAAAAACACTAAAAAATATAGTCGATAGCATTTTAAGTGGACACCAAGGCATTCAAACTAATTTTTTAATCAAGTCATACTCGCTTTTCACATTTTTCGTTTTTAAGATAAACCGATCAAAAGTGCAAATAGCTCTGGCTTGCATTTTCCCTACTATCTGGCTCTTGACTTTTGTACTCACTCATAGACATATCCAGTAGGTTAGGTTTGATGTCGAAAACTTGAACCACTGGGACGCCCGGGTGAGATGAAAATGGATCCATTTAGCTCTCACTCAAAAAGTCCCCATGGCTCAGTTTTACGAAATCAAACATAGCAGTTCTACGAAATCAAAATGCTAGAAAAACTTTTAATCATGATAATTTTTCACCAACCACAAGTTTTTTTCTCCTCAATTTCCAAACTTTGAATTCGCCTCCAGTTTTTTGTCAACTTTACTTACTCTAGTGGCGTTTCTATAGTTGCCCTGACAAACGTAGCTACAAAACAGCCAATCAAAACTCGAGGCTGTAGACCTCCGTTGGCTGAGTGGAGCATGAAAGGCAATGGATCAGCAGCCCAGGTTCCCTCACAATAAGTGAAGACCGCTTCAAATGAACTAAACTGAAGGGACCTGAAACACAGATAACACAATTCAGTTCGCTATTTCAGCTTAAATATACCAACTCTCGAGACTAGAAATACTTCAAAACTCAACGAAAAACAATAAGAATTGTCACACAATAAGCTTTTTTATCAAAAATTTTATGAAGTTTTTGATGAATATTTCCGTCCAGAAAATAAAGTTTATCAACTTCTGATTTAAAAAATGAACAAAAAGTGAGGAGCCAGATTCAAAAAAAATTAGCTTAGAAGCTTTGGCTGGGTACGGGAGCAATGTATAAGTGTTTCGGTTTCAGAAAATAAGCTAAAGTTAAAAATAAGCTAAAGTTAACGAAGCTATAGAAATTTACAATGTTTCATGTGACTATAATTTAATCAGAAAAGATTCAATAAACAAGGAAAAACACAGTATTTTTTTACTAGTTGCTCGATTATCTCTTAGACGATTCAATTGAACTCATTAAACATTGCAACTTACTTTAGATTTCGGTTATTGATGTTTTATCTATTTTTTCAAGGTTTAAAAAACTAAGCAGGCTACAAAACTTGCAAAATACCTAAATTTTCAATAATTTCAGTTTTTAGGAGAATCGGATGCCATTCTGCGGCAAATACTCAACCTTCTGACCGACCGATGAAGTTTCCCTTTTGCTAGTATTCTGCGACTTCAAAATCCTTTAAAAAATTCCAAGGTGCGAGCCCTAGCAGTTCATCTTTCAGGACCGTGTAGTTTTTTGTTAAATAGTCCTAAGCTTGGCAAAAAAGACTGGCCTATTATAATGCTTTGCAAAAATGTTTGAAAAATTGTCGGTTAAGATAAAAGTTAGACTACACTTTTGAAAGCCTTGGAACCTACTTTTTTTGCAAATCTCAAAACCTAATTTTTGAAAAAACCAAGATTAATACCTGATTAAAGATGTTTACATTTTACGCCGAAGACTTATCGCACATGTGGAACCATCTGCTTTGAGTTGGGTTATTTTGTTGAGTTTTCCTAAAATGATTTGTTCATATATACTGAAAATTACTACATTTTTTTATTAAGTGGTCATGACGGCAAAAAAGTTGAAACATGTGCTGAGTCAGTTAGCTATCCAATAGTTGATTTTTTCAATCAAATTTTAATCAATGAGAAAGTTGCAAACGTTTGCGTTATAGCCAAAGTTCCACCTTTTGACAAGAAGGTTCTTTACGAGAACTCAACTAAATTTAGGCTGATAAGCCTGTTTTCATCAAGACACAAAGTTAACGATAAAAAGTCTTTCAACGCTTTTTTGAAACTATTGATTATTTCAACAACCTTTTGCAGCAGAGCAATTTGGATTCAGGAAAAATCGTTCATGTAATAAAATCATCACAACAACAGAAATTATACGATCATGCACAGATGCAAGAAACATAAGAAAAGCTTGTTTTACAGAATTAAAAAAGCGTTTGACATCATAAAGCATTCTATTTTGATGAAAAAGCTGTGGTTTTATTTGCATATGCTGTAACCTTATACCATCATTTTTAACTAATCATTATGAACACGCACTTTCAAACTGAAAGAATTTGAATATGCTACAGGGTTCGGTACTTGGATCGCTGCAAATTTTTATGGAAAATTGAGTTTCAAATAAAATTTAGAAAGAGATGTTAGTTATTTTTTTGCTGGAGACACGTTGTTTCGCACGAACAAAAAATTAAGCGCAGTACAAGAAGTCAAAAAAAATTGGAATGGCAGACTTTTGGTACAAAACCAATAAAATAACCTTTATTAAAATAAGATAAAGTCGAGCAGCTAATTTTGGCTGACAAAAAAAATTTAAACAAAATGCGAAATATCTTTTAGAGGAGAAAAATTGTAGTACACAATGTTTATAGTTTTCATCGGCACTTTAATACTAGTTGAAGAAAACAAGTCCAATTTAATGGCTTAACATATCAAGCAAGGAACGTTTTTTCGTGAAAACTCCACATGAGTTTTAATAAAATTTAAGCTGAGTCCGTTTTTTCATCTGGCTGATTAGCAGATGTTTTAGATAGTTTTTCGACGACGAATTTTTTGCAAAGATTTTTTAAACAAAAACATGATTTCAGAACTAAATTTTTAACAAATGTTCCAAGTATTGATGACAATTATCATGAAAATAAACTTGAAATCGACTTCAAAATCTCCCTTAATAAAATAGATAAAAACTATTGATGAGTTGTTAATGGAAATTCTACTCAATTTTTTAAGCGAAGAACAATTTCACAAAGGAGATGCACGGGAGCTCGCGAATCGAAAACTCTCAAATGACATATATTAAGAAAAAATTGGCTGCACAAGTAGTTCAGCTATAGGATAAACAAATTTCCAATTTTTATTCTCAAACGAACTGCTGCCTCACAATTTAAACATTTAAAGATTAACGAAATCAATAATTCTGGATCTAAATTTAAGAACTATTTCCTAAAAGATAATTCCTATACACAGGAAATCATTTTTTCTGAAGTATTTCTGTCTTGATCCTCAAGTGTTTGATTTTACATGGTTTCACGTTGACGCGCCTCAGCGCTCATGCGCGATTCTCGAGAGTTAAGTACTGTATACGTATCTTTTTCTCACTAAATAATTCAAATTTAAACGAGTTTTCGAACATTGTATAATAGTTGAGACTGATGCTGGAAAGATTTTGAAATCATATTGTAATTCTAATATTGGTTTCGCAGGTTGAACGCTTTTGATTCGTAAGAAAATGAGAACCCTCTTTTAGCTCATTGACCTACTCTTTGTAAGCACAACGTAATTGATGAAACATAAGTTTTTCGTTACTGTTGGTTCCTGAAATATATATATCGATTGCTTTTCTTTAGACTGTCTTAGCTAATTTTTGTTCTAATTGTTCCGACTTTCGATACGAAAGTAACGGAATATTTGTGCTCGGGGTGGGTTTTTTTTTGTTCAGACAAATTTCGACTTTTTAACTAGCAATTTTTGACGGAATTTCTTAAATATCATTCGAAAGGTATTGTTGTCCTGAGCTCAAATTTAAAAAGATATTTCACCTGTGATCTTTTTTCGTAAAGATATGGTGGTTTAAAGATTGCCGTTTTGGCCAATTTGGGACAATGAACGCGCGATATATTTCGCGCTATTAACGCATGAGCGGAGATTTAATCAGTCTTAAAATCGTTCCCAATTGGTTGAAAGAAGCTTATTTGCCATAATTGATTTGTTACAAGGAGCAAAATCTATCCTTTTATACTTTATATGGCGTCTGGGGGGATGATTTTTACAAAAAAAATCAAATTTTTGAAAAAAAAAATTTCATTTTATTTTTTCTTACATTTAATTTTTTAATGTTATTACTGCTCCATAAAACTTTAAAAGGCAGTCGGAACAATCAGGGCTTCGTCCTGATACGAGTAGTCTTGTTTCTATTAAGGATTAGTGATCTGCTCTGTATTACACTTTTAATAGTTTGTATTGCAAATTCAATTCACAAGCTTACTTATCCTGTAATTGAATTAGTGTTTCATCGATTGAAATCGGAAGGAACATTGTCTTTGAGCATATTTCATTTTTTCCCACGTAATTTCAGGTGCTCCGAATCATCATAAAATGAAACAAGTAGAATATCATCGCTATATCTTTTCAGGCGTGATTAAAACAAAATGGCCTTAACAAATTTTTCATTGTGTCGAGAGAAAACTACGTTCGACATTTCTGAGTTTCAGTCTAATGTCCAGCAATTATCAAACGAGTAAGTCCTATGAAAAAAAAGATCTATGAAAAGTAAAATTCAGTAATTATCCATTTTTTGAAGTTACATTCCGAGCTTCATTGGCAATAAAAATTTCTGCAAAAAAATATACGAAAAATTTTCGGAAAAACTTTTGAATTGATTTTTTTCTCAACGTTAAAAATCGTTTATTGATTTTCAAAGTTCTTAATTCACATCCTGGTCAAATTGTTTTTTTTAGTTCTCTCATCACAACACTCACAAAGAACTACCAGCTTTTGTAAAAAAAAATATGAAAAATTTTTGATATTCTTATATGAATGGTCGGAACATTCTGTGTTACTTACACTAAACCGGCTATCTTTTTTTGTATAAAATGACTTTCCGAGTTATTTGTTTTGTTTTTTTGTGTTTTTTATTCAGATCATAATCAATCCAGACACTATAGCAACTTTTGCTCATTTGGAAACCGAAAATCAAAGTAAGCTTTTGTTTTCCTATCTGGAATCAAACTGTAGAATTGGTGATTCTAATGTATTACATGCTATAGTAACTTGAGCGTAAGATTGATTCGTCGTTAAGTTAAGTAGTACAGCAAACAAAGGGTAAAGTTCGAAATAGTTGAATCTTCAAAGATGTAGTCCCTCTTATGGCGGAAAACTCAGGTGAAGTAAAATCGGCTGACCATCCCCCAAATAGGAACTACACGAACTTCAGAGGAGCGATATTAGAGATGATTTGACCTGGGCATGCAAAAATCCATAACCCCCGGACCCCCAAGCGCCAAGTGATAACGGTTCCCCGAAGTGCAAATGGCCTTATCAGAACTCGGATTCTAGCGGCGGTATTGGGCTTAAATTCTAGTATGTTGTAGGCCTAGTTAGGGGGAGCTTAAATTTGGGAACCCAGACCCCTCAGACCCCCACTTCCAGTTTTATGCCCAAAGTAAACAAACCCACCCGTAACTTCTGGAGGTCGGTTCTCGGCCTCCAATGAACGCAGGGAGCTGAAACTTTGAGGGATGAAAGGTAGTGGCAAGATACATCTTGTATTATAATTTGAACCAAATCTGGCGGTTGGACCGGAAGCTATTAGCACTTGGAAAAACACCCCCTGAAGTAGGCAAAAAAACACAGACCGGAAGTAGGCAGTTTACGCAACATAATGAGCGAGGGCATATCAATTTTATGGCGGCATCAGATACTGCAACTCGTCCCCGAAAAAGAGACCCCTAGTGAGTGAAAACTCTCCGGTGACTCCTTCCGGTGTTAATAGCCTTTTCCCGGAAAAAGTGATTATGGACATTAGAAATGGGATACCTTGTGAAGTATTAATGGGATATGAATGAAACTTGGTAGTTAGGACCCCCATGGGATTCTAAACCCAAATATGGAAGTTTGACCCCGGTTGACCCCTGAGTGACTTTAAAGTGACCTTTGGGCTTTTTCACCCCAAACTTGCATGGAAAACCCGAATATTAACACCGGAAAGTGGCGTCTTCCCCAGCCCAACCCCTGGAAATGAGGATAAGTCATCTTGCTAAAAATTGAGGGGAAAACTTATATATTGGGAACTAGAGTAGAATCTGATGGAGATATAGATTTTACATTGCAACCTTGGAGTAGTGGATTTAATTCAAAATGGACTTGGTAAACTTTGGGTTCAGTTTAGCTTGGCGAATGCGCTTTTAATAGAGTAGCAATAAGGGTAAAAGAAAAGTAGTCCCAGAAGAAATGGATAGTAATAGGACCGTAGCATGAGAATTAAGTTTCCTAAATAGTATGAATGGACATGAAATTTACTTGGCTCTCCGGAGGTGACTTTTTGGTTTATTTTGACCCCTAATAGACGAACTAAATTCCACTGATAGCTAGAAGGTCGGGATTGGAATAGAGTACAGGTAGAAATTTTAGATGCTTGGAATGAATTAACTACCCATAAAAAGGGTCTCCCCCTACCCTTGGAAGGTCGGAACGTTAACGGGAGAATTGTAATAAAGACCTTGGGAGGATTACTGAGTAAACATAGCATGCTTTGGAGGTTGAGTTGAACTTGAGAGCTCAAGTTCACAGAGTTCAAGAATTAGTTGATTAGAATCGTATGACGTTTGTTTGCTTGGTCAAATTGTGGCAGCTACCGCATACCGGGTATCTAATAAACATGAAAAGATTGATAGAAGAAACCGAAGTTGGCACATGGCAGAAGTGACAGGGGGAGGGATATAGTCTTAAAACATGTGCGGATGGGTGATTTAGGCGGTTGTCAGGACTGATAGGGAATGGCGTGACTTAAGTAAAACTAAGTGTAAAGAAAGATAAGGAATTGGAGGGTATCGGAGAGCCTTTAAGAGTCAAAACAGTGTTAGCTACCATCAAGAGTTGTTGGTTCTCGATCAGAGAAGAGAACAGTTGTTGGCTACTATTAAGACTAGTGGCTTCTCGATCAGAGTAGAGAACAATTATTGCTAGCGAGCAAGCTGATTGGAACCCGAGTTTAGTACCGGGTTAAAATAGCTGTGTGAGCGAGTTGCGCTGGAACCCGAATTTAGTACCGGGTTGAACTAGTTGTGTGAGCGAGTTTCTCTGCTAGAGTAGGCGAGTTTTGATCGAGTCAAGCGAAAACTGACGAGCAATTGAACGGAACGGGACGCGGGCTTCAAAATAGAAGTTTCTAAGTAGTAGTGAGCTCATAAAGGGTACTGTAAATTGCTTTTATTTCCTTTGCGATTGAGAATTTACTTATGGTGCACACGATTTGCTGAACTAGCTAAAAGTGCGAGAGGAGAGCCGAAAAGAGCCTAATTTAAGGGGGGAAGTTGCGTAATCCTTTGATCGGCCGATTTAGTCTGACCACCAACATAACCCTTTCAGGATTGTGGATCATATCGTGTCTTAGTGTCCCCCGCTATTACACGGTATTAAGGGGAGAAACTCTGCGGCAGTTAAGTAGAGTGGACGCGTGCTTAGAGGAGAAGACTCCCCGGAAAGAATCCACAAAAACAATTAGACCACCATCACGTTTTTTATTTTGATATTTTAGTCACAATTGCACTTGTCAGTAACCAGTGGTTTTCATTGTTTGTTTCGTTCAGCCTGACATACGAAAAATGAGTTTGTGGTAAGTCGAAGGTCTTGTATGCTTTTTGTGCGTTTTTTTTTCGTGTAAAAAGGTGAGGGTACACCGTTACCTGTAAATTCCAGATCCAATCAGTGGCGGAACACATCCTCTGTATAATCCCCTTACCCCCTGTGATCTGAACACTTCTGCGAATGCCTTGGACATGGAGATACTCTCGAAGCCCTTCTGTGCCTGCATTTTGGTCTTTATTGTGTCCAGCGGGTGACCAACTGCGACAACTGTCAGCCCGAACAGCACACCAGCCCCGCATGATAGAGCAGCTTCTTTGACCCAATGCGATCTGTTCTCATTATGAGTCATACCCAAAGAGCTTCGCGCTTATTTAAAACGGAGGCAACGAAAAATTAGTCGATGCAACGATTTGCAGAAAAGACGTCAATTTGTTGCAAATTGATAACATTTGCTACTTTTGAGATACTTATCAGCGAAATTTATAATAATCATCATAATAACTTGTTTTATGAAGAAAATATCCGAAGGTGCACAAAGAGACACAAAAATGACACTCGAATTTTCCAAAATGTCAGCCGCGAGCCTATGGCCTTTTGGTATGCTGCGCATTGCTAGACCCACTTTTCTGACCTTCTTATCAAAGAAAATTAAGATCGCCGCAAGAAATATAGCTCTAAGGATTAAGATCTGAGATTTAGATACAATATATTTGATTTCACTATACTTTGACATGAACATCTATCTACTACCTTTATCTTCAGCGCTTGCTTTTCAATCAAAACGTCCGTTACCACGAAATCACATCTTTTATCGCTACATACACGAAGCGCCAAACAAGGCCATCCGAAACAAAAGCAAGACAGAACGTATCAGGGAAAGCCCTGAATGTTCCGACTGTCTTTTAAGGGCTATGGAGCTGTAATAACATTACAAAAGTAAATGTAATACAATGAAACGAATTTTTTTTCTTTTAATTGAGATTTTTTTTGAAAATCATCACCCCACACGCCATATAAAAATAGAGTTATAGGTTTCGCATGGCAAATAAGCTTCCTTCAGCCAATTTGGAACAACTTCTAAGAGATATTAAATCTCCGCTTACTCGTTAAAAGCGCGAATTATATTGCGCGTTAATTGTCCCAAATTGGTCAAAATAGTATTGCTTAACCCCCCATAATTTTACGAAAAATGATCACAGGTTAAACATCTTTTTGAATTTAAGCTCAAGAAAACAGTACTTTTTGAAAATAAAAAAATTTGTCTGAAGAAGAAAAATCAACGCGAGCACCAATATTCCGTTACTTTCGTCACCAAAGTCAGAACAAAAAGCATAACCTTTTGCTAGCCTCATTTACGTGTTATCGCGGGCTTTTTTTATAACTAAATTTGCAATTCTGGAAGAAATTCTGTGGTTTTAAAAGACTTGGATGAACATTTCGGCATGGCCATTTAGTGGTAGATGCATGACTATTTATTCATTTTCGCTTAACAAAAACTGATTAAAAGCTAAGTTAATTCTTTTGTTGTGCTCATTTACAACCAAATTTTTGATATAAAATAATGAGATCGGTAGCCTAAACGTTGTGGATAGTATAAGTATCATGAAATGTGACTGGCTAGTCTGTAATTGAATATCTTTACAAAAGTTTCAAATTTGTAAGCTCTTTTATCTGTATACTAAAGTTACGGTCCCCAAAAAATCACCCCGTGTACGAATATTCCGTCACTTTCGTTACGAAAGTCGGAACAACAAAACTCTAAATTATTCAAGGATTTGCGAATTATGTTTCGACTGACTAGTAGTATACTGCAGCTTCATTAATTGACTTTCTCTAAGCCATCTCAATTTATTTCAACCGTTTTGAGCCAGATATATCTACGAGTTTCTGTGTCAATCAATGACAGTCATTTCGATTGCGTTCGAAAGAGAAAACACAGTTCGAAAGCGAAAAAGCAGTTCGACGGATTTTGTCACCAGAAATAATTTCGACTGTTAAAACGTCCCAAAATAGTTCGTATTTTTTTGTAAAGTCAGCTGAAAGAGATTTGGGTGTCTGAATGAGAAGAAAATTGTTTGAAAGTCTTGGAGTTTTGGTAAAACTTTCGCGCGATAAAATCTGCAGCAGGAAATTTTTTGAACAAACAGGTAGAAAAAAGGATCAATAAGCCTTTACTAACAATTGAGGTTCAACCAGACATTTTACGTCGTCCTTTTGTCTAGAAAATTTGTCCTCCTCCTGCAATTTGTTCTTTATCATGTCCAGTGGGTGACCAACTGCGACAACTCTCAATCCTCGCGCCAGCCCGGTTGAGCATAACCAGCTTCTTTGATCCAATGTAATCTATTCTCTGTAGGTGTCATGTCTATAGCATCATACTTGCTTAAGACTGAGGCAAGGCGAAAAATCATTGAAACTGTTCCTTGTCTTTGAAAATGTGATGATTCAAGACAGGGACTTTAAGCTGGGAAATTCTCTGATTTCATATCCGCAAAACATTCGGAATATTTCGCTCATCACGGAAAGATTGGCGCAATGCTGAAAAACTTGTTCAAATCGTAGTTTTGAAAATACAATATCCAGTTTGTGTTTGTTCTGTTTTGTTTTTTATTCGAATAAATAGGTAATTGGCAAATTTTTATTTTTTTAGATGAATTGTCCGTCACGAAAGCTTACCTTTGAAATTAAGATTTAGAAAAATAAAAAACTCTAATTTTTGCATAATTGGTGAGTTAAGTTAAAAATTTAGAATAATAAATCTTTCCAAGTAAAAAGGCACATTCTATTGGTGCGTACCACCAAAGCTGAAACAAGAACTACCAGATAACTGAAAATGAGAAAAGTTAGGGGAAACTCGACTCGCAGACACTCTCGCGAATTTTAAGCACAATGGACCAAAAACGTGACAGCGTTTTTTACTTTGACAAATTCGACTCACCTTTAATCTTTGTTTGTTCTTTATGCTCATTGTCTTCGAAACTTTGATCTTCTGGGAAAATTTTTTTTAGGATTTGACACGAAAATTGATCGAAGCATATCTTTTGTGAATCAAGCAAGGTTGAGCATACTTTTCTTCCGTTGAGATAGAGGGTTCAATTCTACATACAAGCTGTTGGGATATTAAAAAGACACCTAAGCTGGCTGAGGAGCCAAAAAAATTCTGACTTCGTTCAGAAATTTTGAAGTAAAATAAAATGACAACCTTGATCAGGCGACAAAGAATGATGCTGCCAATTGATTACTTACAACAGATATTTTTGTGAAAGGATAATTTTTATATTTTGAAGTTGGAAATAATTGCGACTGCGACACTGATGATTGCGTTCGAAAAAAAAAAATTCGAAGGCAAAAATAGAGTTAGACGGATTTAGACTCCAGAACAAAATTAGACTGCGAAAAAACCATCCGAAAACCTTTTTTGATTATTTGTAAATAAGCTGAAAGCAATTTGGAACTGATTTAGAAGGTTGGTGGAAAATTTTGGAGTTTTCATTTTAAAATTTTTTTCGGTGCGCTCCCACTCAAAAATTTTTATTGGCGCCAAACGCGCCTTTAGAAAAGTTTTAAATTCAGCCAGACAAAAACTGGAGTTTTAAAATAGTAGCAAAAAGGGGCCCTGTGGGTAGTCAGCTGGTCGAATCCGCGAGGAAAGCCCCCTCCCTTAATCAATCCGCTTCTGACTGAACCTTTAATTAAAGTGCATTTCGCGCGCTATTAGGGTTTGTGCCTGTAATTTGGTCTTAATCGTGTCCAGCGGGTGACCAATTTCGACAACTCGCAATCCTCACGCCAGCACCGGATGAGCATAATCAGCTTCTTTGATCCAATGCAATCTTTTCTCACAAGGCGTGATGTCCAGAGGATTATGCTTGTTTAAGACTTGATTGCTTAAGGCAACGCGACACTTCATCGAGAGCAACTTTTGGCCGAAATTTGAATTCGTGTTGATTCAAGGCAGGGACTTTTAATTGGGGAAAACATCTTACTTCTTATCTGCAAAACATTCGGAATCATTCGTCCACCCTTTACAGTGTCTCCCTTTGCACTATTTTGAGATATCCATTATTGTCTAATTGACCTTAAATTTCATCTAAAGGCGCCTGTTTGCCATTATAAATTAATTTTGAGGGGGAGCGCGCGTCAAAAAAAGCAAAATTTTTTGGTCCGAATTTTTCCAAAATTGCCTAAAAACGCTTTATTTCACCGTGTTTTTAAACAAAATTTAAACTTCAGAAATTTTTTTTGAAAATCTGCCCCTTCCCCTCCCCAGAAAATCCTAGATCAGCGCCTGATTTTTAGTGCTAAAATATTTGTTTCAAAAGTAGTTTTGAAAATTTTGTACTCAATTGGGCTTTACTTTTAGTCTTCGATTAAAAAGAAATAGGTATTTGATAAACTTTGATTTTAGATGAAGTGTCCGTAACGAAGGCGTTTGTTTGAAATTAAGTTTTTGAAAAAAATTAAGTGTATTCGTAATTGATGATTTTATAGAAAACTAGAGTGAGAAACCTTTCCTACTAAGATGGCACATTTTATTGGTGCGTACCAGCAAAGCCGAGAACACGAACAACCAGAAAAATGTAAATCAAAAAAAGTTTGGGCAGATTTCGAATCACAGATATTCTCGTAATTTTTAAGCTCAATGGAGCAAAAATGTGACAGTAGTTTTTACTTTGACGAATTCGACTCACCTTTGATCTTTGTTTGTTATTTATGTTCCTTATCTTCGAAATTTTGACACGCTGGGAAAAAAATTTTAGGACTCGACAGGAAAGTTGATCGAAGCATATCTTTTGTGATTCGAGCAAGGTTGAGCATATTTTTACTCCGCTAAGATAAAGAGACCAAACATACAGACAAGCTGCTAAGACGATAAAAACACACCTAAAATGGCCGAGGAACCAAAACAGTTCTGATTTTATTATGGAATTTTGAAACAAAAACAAAATGACCACCTTGATCCGGTGACAAAAAATGATATAGTCAAATGATTACTTAAAACAGATACTCTCTTGGTTTCGATTACCATTGAAAAATATATTTTAATGATGCTTGTTGATTCTACTCAAAACACAAGCATCAGTTTGACTAAACCGCAATGTTTTGTATAGGAAATGGTCAAACTTTTATCTTATTCAAATTTGAAGTGCTAGCTACTTTAAATGCGCCTTTAAATTTATTTCAACTAAAAAAATTAGACGATAAAAATATTGAAACCGAAAATTTTGACGCAAATTAAAATTTTATTTACAAAACAATAAAAAAAATTGATAAATTTTTTCTTGACGAGAAAAAAAATTGAATAGAAAATTCATGATACTGCTGGACTTTTTTTAATTTCTATTTGACATTTTGTTACCTTAACAGTTCAAACAGTAGCTACCTTCACTGTTTTTTTGGAAAGTTTTAATTATCGATTCAACGAGGATACAAATGGCGTGAATATCATATATCCTTAGACTCTTTCTGATGTTCAGTTATTTACGGGAATTTGCAAGGAAAAGTAATAGAAACAAAGCACACTCGGAAATCGATGACAAGTTTAATTGATAAATCCAATTACATAGCAAACAATCAGTTTTCTAAGAAAACTACCTTTTTTGATGCATTGAACCTTTTTTTGATGCGTTTGCAGCCCATTGAACTATGTAAGAAACATAGTTATTGTAATTTTATGAATGAATACTAGCGGTTTTAGTGAATGGGATATATGTGAATATTTCTTCAAAAAATTTGAAATTTAGATACTGGTTGCAAAAGTAGTAACATTGCCAAAATTGTTTTTATTGTTTAACTTCAAGCAACACTTTAACAGAAACACAGATTAAGATGTTTCTAAATCTAGTTTTGTTTTCTAAAACGATTATAGAACTATTAAACTTGCTAAGTAGTGAAGAAAATGGACCTAAAAATGAAGTTCACAATCGTACACTTTGTTTGTGACAGCTCGTTGTTGGTTTTAAAATATTTACAATTAGTTAAACTGAAAATAAGCAATTCAACATTTATTGTAAAAATTGAATTATCTGATTCAAAACGTAGTTGCTTACAGATTTTTAATAAGTTGTTGATTTTGAGTCTGCAGTTTTTTATCGGGACGTTTTTTCTTCTTTTTTAAAACTTAAAACAAAAGAAACTTTCGTTAGCAAATTTCTGTTAGCAGAAACTGCAGATTTCTGATAAAATGAGTATGATCCTGTTTGCTGGAGAAAGTGGCAGTTTCCTACCAACTTATTAATACGGTGGCAATTTGATAAATATAATTAAGCTAACAAAGGGTAGATCATTTAATTAAAAACTAATGTATCAATAACTCTAAAACAAGTAGATCAGAGCAGTCAAGTAAAAAAACAAAATCAATGCACCATTCATTTTCAAAATGGCTTCCCGCACCTAACAAAAGCTTCTTAATTGGATAACAATTTTATTTAGACAATTTAATTTTATTTTCTGTTTTCTGAAAAGTTTCTGGAAAAATAACCTAAAAACAGCTAGTTTCTAGTCTCTTTTTGAATTATTTTGACAACCAATTGTCACAAAACTTTTTAAGAATGAGCTCTAATGTCTAAACTGAAAAAAAATGCCAGCGTGAACAATTGAACAAATTTTTACAAATCTTTCTATCATGCAGATTGATTAAGTTTTGGGTCATATTAACAAAAAGGCCCAAAATCAGTATTTCTGCATCTTTAATTGAAACTAATGAGATTGAAACTAATTTGTTAATGGGCCAATCAAATGCAAACAACATAGTACGCCATTTCATTTAAAATTTGAAACATAATTTTATTGAGCAAAATGACAAAAAATATTTTTTTTTGTTCCGTTGAAACCATTTTACTGAACTTTTCTCGTCAGGTTAAAGTGACATGAAATTTTTGGTAATTTTAGCCAAACTTCTTCCGTTGGAAAGTTTGAATGGAATGCTTAACAGTGTTGTTCGAATTCAATGGGTTAAAGTTAGCCAATCAGATTCAATCGCAAAAATATGCCAATCAGATTCGATGGGCTAAAATTAGCCAATCAGATTCGATCGCAAAAGAATCGCTTATTTCTTTCACATTTTTAAATATTGAGTTGTGATTGGCTGAGAGAATTTTCTGGTATTTGATCTTTCTTAGATGATAATTTTTCTCCACAAGGGTGCAATTGTTAGAGCTTAAGATGTGTTTTTTTAGTTTGCGTCCAATCTTCCAACATGAATTTCGCGCCTCCCTCCTCAGGGATTCGACCACCTACTGACCCAAAGGGTCCTCCCCTTTGTACTATTTTAAAATCTCCATTTTTGGCAGACGGAACCTAAATTGTTTCTAAAGGCGCCTTGATCGCCAATATAGACTAAATTTTAGGGAGAAGAGCGCGCTAAAAAAACGCATTTTCGTCAAAATTTTCCAAAAAGTGCCTAAAAACGCCTTTTTTGGCCTGTTTTTTCAAAACTTGCCTGCGGCGCAAAAAATTGCGTCAAATTAGTGTCACTGTAAGGATTTGTGAGAGCTCAGAAATCAATTTGGTCGACGTAAAAAAAAACGTCCGTAAAATTTTGAAATTTTTTGAAAATCCCCACCCCTCGATAAACTCCTTAGATCCGCCCCTGATTAGGTTACAGTTACTTCGTTGGCTATTCAGTGCTTTGTGTTTTTGGCGAAGTAGCTTCAGTTCAGAAATGAGGTAAAAACTATTTCATTTTTTTTATAATTTCGCAATCATTGTGACCTGGTTTTAAGCCTTCATTGGTTTTCTGTTTGCGTCAGTAACCACCTACATTTTATGGACCTTAGCAAAAATTTAATCAGTCTTCAACCACCTGCGTTTAATATAGAAATGTAGAAATGTAGAAATGTAACTTGTCTCATATAGAAATGGTTTTTACTTCGACATAGCTCTTGAGTTCCCAGTATTAATCGTTTCCTGTAAATTTTTTACTTCTTACTTTTATTTGGGTTTCATAGACTGCTTGTACTCTATGACTTCTGAGTTGGGGACATTAATATCAATTTTCATCAGAAGCCGGCATTTTTCCTAACTGTGTGGAAACAAGCCTTTTATTCCCTAACTCAATTATGATAACAATTACGGTTAGACCACTCCAGAAATCACTGCGCGTTCTGCTTGCCTAAGCAAATCGCGCTTTCGAGGCTTCCAAAACATAGTAAAAAAGCCCGGTGATCTGGCCTAAGCGTTGTTTTCAGATAAAGTGGATGTTTAGTTGGGGGCGTTCAACAGTGCCGAAGTACAACAGTGCCGAAAAAGGCGGAAAATTTTCAGAATAATTTACACGCATTTTCTAAAGAAAATCACTCCAATTTTGGCGCCAAATGTCTGCAACTGCAAAGTAAACAGTTATATTGGCGCCAAAACGTGTAAGCTGCAAATTTTCTCGCTCAAAATCTTAAAGTGTCACTTAAGATTGTAAGCGATCGCCGTTTAATTTTTGATTGCCGCACTTAATATGTTGAAATTTGTTCAAATATTCGGCACTGTTGAACAAAGTTTTCATTTTCGGCACTGTTGAACAAAGTTTTCATTTTCGGCACTGTTGAACAAAGTTTTCATTTTCGGCACTGTTGTACTTCGGCACTGTTGTACTGCCCCGTTTAGTTTTTATGTTGACTTATCAGCCTGAGATAAGAAATACTCTGAGATAATAATTAAATTTATAAAAACTCTGGCATATGATCAATTCGAATTTAAAGCAAACTATAGTACTTAGTACAATTTTCTGTACGTATGCAATTGTATGGAATTGTATGACAAGAAATTTCCCATTTATGAGAATTGTATGATAAGCATTTTTGGTCAACCCGGGTATTTCAGCAGTTATAGCAAATTTCAATGACTGCTAAGTAGTTTGCTCCAATTTAATTTTTTGAGCAAACTATTTCAGCAATTATAGCAAACATTTCAGAACTTAAGACTATCAAAATTTTATCCAATTGAAATCGACAAACCGACTAAATTGAGCAAACATATAAGCACGAGTATCAATTTGAGTCAAAGAAAAAAAGTATAAAATATGTGTCCCACAATTTTTATAAAAAGCTCAAAAACGCAATTAAGCAAACTCAGGTGCGGTTTTGGATGACCTTGAGGCTCTTAAGGTTTCTTCAGTAACCACCAACATTTTATGTACCAAACGATCATATTTATTCCAATATACCCTTTGGAATTATTTTATTTTTGGCCAACCAACCCTAACATTTTTCTAAAGGCGCCTTTGGAGCCAAGCCAATATATACTAATTTTGAAGGGGAGCGCCGAAAAAACGCGATTTTTTAGGCCAAAAAGTTCCAAAAAGTGCCCAAAAACTGCATTTTTGACCTGTTTTTGTTTTTTGCCTGCGGCGTTGAAAATTTTGTCATAATGAGGTCTTTATAGTGGTCTTGCAGCGCTCAAAGATCAGTTTGCTCGACCTAAAAAAATTGACATTTCGAAAAAAAATTTAAATCCGTCCCCTCGAGTCGAGCAAATCTTAGACCCGCCCCTCTATAGCACCCACTTTTTATTACGGATTTGTATGATCAGCATTTTTGGAACATGGAGTTCCACCGCGGGCGTTTAACAACCATACAAGCTACAGTTCAGTCAAGTATCAAATTTCACTGTAAATTAAAGTTTGAGGAAATTCGCGGCCGATCGGGAAGTGGCAACTCCTCGAAAGCAACATTCGGCCGAAAGCGACATTTTTTACCTTTTCAAATAAGCGGCAACTCGCAGGTGACAATTTGGACCAGGCAAATATTTGTAAAAATAGATTGAGCGGCAAATATTGATTCACACGCACTATTTCTGTCGTGTCGTATGCAACTTACGGTCGCTATTTGCCAACGCCTTGTTCCGAGTTGTTGCTTGTTACGAAGTGTGACATTCTACGAATTGGTACAAGTATGATAGATGAGTCCAGTAAAAAAGCAACTATGAAAGATTGGTCCAACTATTTTGAAGGAAATCTCAAAAACGTAAGAAAAAAAACAAATGCAAAATTCATTCCCAAAAATTGAAGGGGGTCCCATTTTTTTTTTAGAAAATCTCAAAAAAGTAAGAAAAAACAACTGCAGAATTTATTCCCGAAAATTGTAGGCAACCTTTTTTTTTCATGGGGCCCATCCATATTTTAGGGACATAATTATCACACTTGTACCTACGAATCTTCGCTTTTTCTAAATACTACCTTTTGTCACTTTCGGCCAGTTTTCGCTTTTGACGGTTTGTCTCTTTGTCGGAGCCACCGACTGGTCTGTTATATACTCCTCTCCCAGTTTCTCCCGGACCAGCTGGTTATTTCTGGCTCTGTCTTCTGGGTCGGAAGGACCCCAGTGCTTGCTGGGTCTGAGGTTGATGAGCACTTTCTCTCTCAGAGAGTCTCCCTCTGTGACGCACACTTTGTAGATTGCATAGATAGGAATAGGAAGGAATTCTAAAGGCAAAAAAAATACATGAATTATGGTTTGTCAATTTGATTAATAAGTGGGTGTTAAATAGTTAAACCATTGCAAATTGGGGGGACTGGTTACTACGCTAATTGTGAGTGTATGCTTCTTCATTTTTGTTCCGAATTTAAGTTAGGACGATTTATCCACAAGCGAAAGGGCCAACATACGAACTGTTCAGCTCTTCAAAGAGAACCGCTGTTGTGCCCCTGGTTAAGATTTACATGCAATTTTTTTGGCTATTTTTCTGGGCTGGTTAATGTTGTCTCACCCTCAAACAACGAGCACGGATCATGGTGGGCCTCGAACGTCCGACCTTTCGATTGAGAGGCGGATTCGTAACCACTTCACCACCGCTCGAAGAAAGTAACGGAATATGTGTGCTCATGTGTTTTTTTCTCCAGACAAGTTTCGACTTTTTAATTTGATTTTCAATATAGTTAAATTAAGATTTTTTGGATGATTTTATATTTTTAACAAAACAAATCATTTTCATATTTGCTTGAAGTTATAAGTTAAATAGTTTTTCGCTTGAATCAAAGCCTAATTAAAGCAACTATTGCATGCTAATAGTCACCCACGCTTATCTCTACCCCACCATCCGTATATTACTGGGACTGTTCTATAAGCATGTGTGCCTATTAGCATGCGTGAATGCAGTTGACCCAATCGCTATTTTCAAGATTGGTTAGGCAAAAATAAATTTTTACGTCCCTAACAATTCTAGCAATTTTTAACGTTTAAACAAAATTGAAAATTTTTGTTTTTCGGATGAATCAACGTCTAATTAAAGCATTTACCGCATGCTAATTTGGACACTCACTACACCGCCGTTTATTACGCACAGGGTGATCATGCATTATTGTGTTACTCAGAAAAGGGCATTTCGCGATTGATTGAACTTTTCCAGGTTCTTTTTCCTACCCTTCTCACTTCACATGAGCATCAACTTTCAGATGTATCGAGCGGTTTTACAAGGTTAAGAAGGAATTTTTAAAATACGTTTGTCATGTTTGTCATGACATGATTCAAGTCTATGTAAATTTTCATAACAATCGTACAATGTTTACACCAATTTTATTTGTAACAAATCCGGTGGGGCAAAGAGTTTAGGTCCATAAGTTTATTGCGCGTCTTTTCTGCTAAAAGGTCCAAAATTATCAAATCTGTTGTTTGAGCTTCTGTTTTCATCAAAACCCACATTTATTTTTGCTGATTTTAATTTCAGCCACACATATTTGAGAGTAAAGCTCAATTTTTCAAAATAGCAAAAAGATCAGATTTTGGACCGTAAACAGAAAAGACCCTTTATTGCTCCTTTCTATATATTTTTCAATCGAACTAACCCCTAATCTCTCTATTTTTTTGTTATTTTCAACAACTTATCTACATTACGATTTCTGGAGAATTCTGTGCTACATGCCCAGCAATCGACTATTCTTATGGTTCCGTCCATTTGAAAAATCGGGAGAAACTTTGTATTCGGGTGTTTTAGTTTTTTTCGCTTTGTTTTCCACGCAAAATGAGGTATCACAAAAAATCGTCGGAATGGATTGAGTGATACATCTTATTAAAGCACTTTCAGCTGTGGTTCGAACCACAATAAATTTTCAAAAAAATTCCCAGCGTCGAGAAAAACCGATTTGAAGTTTTTGAATTTTTGTCTTAATTCAAGCGAGCAGGCTTACAACAGCTAAATTATGCCTAATTTAAGACCTTAAAAATTGAATTTGAGCAAGTAAAACTAGTTTTTTAATTCTTTTATTTTCGTTTTTGGAACCAAAAACTTCAAAAAACAGGAAATTTTTTTTTAATTTTTAAATTTTTCTGGTCAGCCTTCTACAAAAATTTTTGTCAATTTTGCCTTATGATTATGACTGTTTTATATGTCTAAATTTATAACTTATTGTATTTTTACGTCAGATCCTTTTGTCAAACCAAGCAGAAAAAACTACACTAATTTGAAAAACAAACTTTCTTAACCGTAATTTTCTAAAGACTATGGTCGGAACATTCTATGCTACTTGCACAGTTAGTGGCGATCCTTGTTTGGTATTTGTATATATAATAGAGCTCAATACAATTGTTCCAATAAATTAGGATTTGAGATTATGCCCGCTCGAAAATTGAAATAGACAAAAAATATTCAGTGTCTTTTTGTTGAGGTTTTGATTCTAGCTCAATCATATAAATTTTCTGACCGCCAAAAAATAATAGAAAATCCATTTTGCCAAAACCTTACAAAAAATAAACAAGGCAGAAAAGTCGTTTTTGGGCAATATGTGGAACACTTTGATCAAAAAAAAAAACATTTTTTTTTCAGCGCGCGCTCCTCAAATTTAATAGATAAATTTGCCAAAGGCGCCTTTGGAAAGAGTTTAGGCTCATTCAGGCAAAATCGATGTCATTAAATAGTACCAAGATTTGGCAACCAGAACTGAGGGTTTACCCTCCACTCTCAGCACGTTACGGATAATATTGATTACACAATCGCACTTGCCTATGATCATGATTGTCCAGCCCAACAGTTCTGCCCACTGTGGGAACTTGTAGTCACCCAGAGTGATGCTGCTGTACTGGACCAAGTTGACCAGCAGAACCAGAAACAACACTGAGGGCGACACCACCAGCCAGCACACCTGAAGTTCACTCGGGTCTTTTATTTTATGATAGGTTAACCCAACACCCCCCCCCCCCAACCCAACGCTTAACCCAAAATGTTAGGTTAACCCAACCCAACCCAACGCTGACGCTGTTTCGATGGAGAGTTGAACTTAATTTAAGCTGAATTTTTCAATCGATCAGATTCGAGAATTTTACTCCCAGCGCTTTGAGGGGGTCTTAGGACAGAAAGACGGTAGGACTTCAAGCCGAAAGAAGTTGAGGTCAAAATTTAAACGTTGCAAGCCTTTCACGGGTTAATTTTTCATTTGTAAAAGTTAGTTTTCGATAATTGAGGCAAATTTACTCCATAGTAAGCGTTATTAATGAAAATGCACCACTTAGGAGGGGAATCCATTAGTTATATCAGCCTGTTTTAGAAATTCATGAAAACCCCTTAAGCAATGCTTACACTTTTAACATTCCTTAAGATCGATTACTAGTTAGTAGAGGCTCAAAATTTACGAAAAAGCCAATATTTAATTTATAAAAAAAACCATAAAATTAAAAAATTCTCCAAAACAGTTTTCAAGCTAATCATATTTTATGACTTTTTGAGAAAATGTTTGGCCTGAAGTCCCTGTATTTTTTATTCGGCTTGAAGTCCCTGTATTTTTTATTCGGCTTGAAGTCCCGTTGGCCTGATGTCTGACACCGGCTTGGAGGATTTTAACTTAGACTTTCAGAGGTGCAGGGTGTTCACTTGATCCATTTTCTGTTATAATGCCCAAAGCTGATCTTTTTTTATAGTTCGATAATTGAATGGTAAAGTTCAACTTGATAGGTTGAATTTTATTTCAGCAAGAAAAAACCCGGATTTTCGATACCAACAAAAACTTAATTTCTAATTTGGTGATTTTGTGTTGTATAACCGAAGACACCCGGTCTAAAACAAATTTGATTCAGCTCAAAAAAATTGTATATCTGCAAGTTTTTCTTCATAAAACGAAAAAAAAATTTAAAGTCTCGATGGCGTTGAAATCTCAAGATTTAGTTGAAAGTTGATTGCAACCAAGAAAAATATAAACTTAGTTAACTGGTTTTTGTAGTAATTTTGAGCTTTTTTGGAGCTGCTATAAAGTTTCAGATCTGATTACTCTACAATTGAATAATTTATACAAAAATCCATTTCTGTGTTTCTTTTTAAACAATTTCAGATTCAAAAACTAGCTCAGAAGTTTTCATGCTTTAAACCAAAAAAAAAAAAATGCCAAAAAACGGCAATTTCACAACTCAACAACCAATGATTGGAAAACATAATACCTTCCAGAACATTCCGACTGGCTTCCCAGTCATAGACTCGATGTCGACAGAGAAGCGACGCACTCCGTAGATGTATGCGATCACCACCCCCTGGATCAGTTCGAGGAGGAACAGCGGGTACCATGCGGTGTACCAGTCCAGAAGCGAGAACCAGTAGATGCCTATGATGACACGAAAGAACGTGAAAATGACCAAAAATTGCATCCAGTAATTTTTGAAGTGAAATCTGCATCTAAAATGCTGTAAAAATTTTAATCAGGGGCATGACACTAGATCCTAGTAATAACTGAAACGCCAACTGATTTCAGCTAGTTCTTCAGCTCTTCAATAAATCTTAAATATTAGATACTTTATCGGAATTTATGTGAGCATTTCAGATAGTGCAAGTTTACGCAAAGGTTTTAAATATTTTGATAGACATGCGCTGTTGCCCCATTTTTTTGCATATGGTGAGCCGCCCCAATTTTACGGGATAAGCGTCTAATTTCCAGACAAAATAGTTCATGAAGACGTCTAGACAATTAATAGACGCCATTTAACGAGTCAAATCAGTCCCTACAGCTTAAATTTACGTTTTGAGTTTTTATCATTTAAACTACACCATTACCTCACTTAAAAATCTTGGAGGGACATCTTTAATGCTTGGAGGGACATCTTTAATGCTTGGAGGGACATCTTTAATGCTTGGAGGGACATCTTTAATGCTTGGAGGGACATCGATTGTATAAAATACTAGGTTATTTTGAGATAGTTATTAAAATTTATTACAAACAGTGAATCATGAGAGTAACAATCAATTAATAAATAACAATCAATAAGGCAGAATTCGGATACATACTGGAAAAAATAATAATAATAATCAAACTTACCCGAGGACGTGCTGGAAATAGGGAGAGCGATTATAGTGATGATGAGAATACACACAGCGGTGACATATTTTCTGTGGGGTTTGAGTGAGGGGAACTCGTCTAATAGGGGGGCCACTATTGTCTCAACACCTACAAACACTGTGTCCAGGCCTATGTTCACCATCATCAGGAAAAACAGGATGGCCCAGATGGGAGCGCCTAAAAATAACAGGTTCCTGTTTTCACAATCATAACAAGAGATTCCGTTACTGAGCAAGAAGTACAGAATGCGAATATAAAAAACTTTGAAAAAAAAAATGACAAAAAAATAAATCCATTTTATTCTTCGGTTCGAATTTCCTATTACTTTTTAGTGGGAAGAAACTTATTTAGATATCAAAAGCAAGAATGAGAGATAAAAAAGACCTATTTTAAAGCAAAAATTGTATTGTAGACCAAGTTTTCTCGACAGAGACATTTTTTTAACATTTTTTGGAATCTGAACCACCATCAATTGGGTTATTATAAAAATAACCCAATAACCGCTACTGAGCTGTTATATACTTGACTCTGTACGAGGTTCCAAAAAAATGCATAGTACAAATTCCTTTTGTCTTCGTGAAGTGTCCGGATTAATAAAGTAATTTTTTTCAAGCTAGACAGTTCAGCAATTGTCGAGGCAACTAGCATGTATTTTTTTTACATTCTGCCCTTTTTGCTGTGTTTTCACTAAACGGTCGCTTGCGTTTTGGTTAACTTATTCTTTGCATTGAAAAAACAAGGCTTCGAATCTTGAAAATCTTTGGATCAAAAGACTGACAAAAAACACTAATAACTCGCAAGTTTTTGCTATATCGAAGGAAACTAATGACGACTTAAGGTAGAAATTGATATAATATCGAAACTAGAACAAGATTTGTTCTATCTATCGAAAGAATTAAAGAAGTAAGAACGTTATTCAAAAAAATGCGCTATTATTGACAACTTCCTACTTAGAAGCCGAGTATCTTATGTTATTGATGCTATCAATATCTAAAAACTAATTTGCGTGAGTTTGGGTAAGAAAGGGATCTACAATTTGACCATGTCCTCAACCAGTTCAGATCATAGAATAGTCCATCCAGTGCTAAACTTGTGTCTGTTTCAAGTCAAGGATAGTGTGTGTCTAGGGTCGTGAATATATGCTGCAAGGTAAACTAAATTACTTGAACGGTATACCAATTTTTTACGCGAGTGGCTAACAAAAGTAGACCCAGATTTTATGGATATCGTGCAAGAGGACTTGGATGCAAAATTTCGTCAAGCACTTCTAAGCCTCAACTATTAGTCAAAAATAATGTGATTGTTAAATATCATAAAAATTTTGACCGCAAGGATATCGATGAACTGTACAAAATTTGAAAAAATTGAAACGAGATTAGACAAACATGAAAAGAACAAAAATTTCTTACAATTTCATTAGAAAAAAATGTAAATTTTGTTTCGAAACTCAGCCAAAATTATAGGCCAAAAATTTTGAATTTTTAATTTATCAAGAAATATGCTGAAACTACAGTGTTAAATAATTGAAAAAGCTACATCAAAGGAAGCCAATTACACAGCGCAACAAAGCTTTAGAATGGTAAAAATTTCAAAAAAATGCGTTACACGTTTGAAATTTGTTTTTAGCCAAAAGTTTTGATTTTTTTTAGTACAACTGACCTTGTCTGGCTATGAACCAAAAACACATTCTCTTATACAAGTTTTTGGAAGTCTTATCGGTCTACAAATTTGCTGGGCTGCGTAAAAGTCTTCTTTTGATATAGCTGTCTCATCATTTAATGAGGCAGTTTCAGCGCAATTCTTGATTAAATAAAAAAGCCAGAATGACCAAATTTTGGAGTAAACGTTTGGTAGAGAAGTTCGGGAAAAAATTTGCACCATACTAAGTTTGGTGAAATTCTAAGCAATTTTTGTTCTGCTTTTGTCTAATTTTAAGCATTTTTGTCTAATCTTACCCAGTTTGAGAAAAACACGTTTGTCCGGTTAATTTAAATCAGCACTGTAGTCCAACAACAGTTTTATGATTTTTGTGGCAATTTTGTGCTACTTGCAGGGCAACCGACATTTTTTGCTTTGAGTTTCAAGACAAATTGAATCAGGAACAATTTTCTTGGGAAATGCACGAGATAAACCGATGATGAAAAAAGGTGAACTAGAGTAAGAATTTTAGATTGTGCTGTTGAAAGAAGTTCTCATTCGCTGTCTGTCAGCATCATTGAAAAAATTGCTTTTTGAAAAATGTTCGGGGCTAACCGGGTAGTTGAAGAGTAACATCAGGGTATGCAATGAATGCCAAGCCGAGTCCGTCTTTCACTGCGTGTGAAACAGGTGCATCCAATTCGTAGGCCAGGAATCCCATTATGCTGAATGAACACATACCATATGTTACTATGACTGCAAAATTTATGAACTTAGATTTTATCAAGCAATAAGGAACATCACTACTATGTTTTCGGTTTTTAGCGTTATGAAAAAAGTAATCTTTGTAAGATATACTTAAGATCAGATTTTTAGAGAATACGTAAGAATAAGTAAGATATGTGATCAGATTTTTAGGGAATAGCCAATTGTAACTTGTTGTATATGCGCTGCAATTATCGGTAATTTTTAAAAATAGTCAATTCGTCGGTACTTTGTGGGTAAAAATAGCCTTCTGTTATTCAAATATCACCTGAAAATAGTGAAGCCTGCAAACACGCTGGTGCCACAATTACTCAGTGATATAATCCAGGTATCCCGTTCACAGTTTGTGGAGAACTATTGATGAGATGAAGATGTACAATTTTATCCACCTCGAAAAAGATAATGATACGTGTTCATGTAAAAAAAATGGGAAAATCAAAAAGTTTACAAAAAATTAGCTTTTCATTTTAAAGTCATTTTGTAAGTTGAAGATTAAGTCACATAAGTGTTTTCCTCGTGTTGGTCCGATAGTCGACTTCGTAATGATCTGAATAATTTTCCGTTATCGAAACAAGCTGCGAAAAAGTAAAGGTCAAACTTTTAGGGATAACTTTGTTTTTCTTCTAGTCATTTTTGGTTATCTTTGGAGGTTTTATTTAAACATAGAGGTAAACGAAATCTTTCATGGTAGCTTTTTCGGTAAAGATTTGAACAACTTGCCTGGCCGGATTTTTTTTTCAAGGAAAAACATCTGTATCTTAAGGTTGCCTAAAGAAGGTGGCGTAAATTATAATTCATCGTAATTTGTTCCTTTTTGAAACTGGAGATAGTCTGTGTGCCGCCGAAGCCGAGTCCGAGCGAGTATACAATCTGATTGGCTGCCGAGCCCCACACTGTGACGTCAGTGAGTTTGTTGAAGTCGGGCTGGATGAAGAATTTGAGTCCGTTGCTCATTCCGGGAAGAGTGAGACCCCTGATGAACAGGATGAAGAGGAGGATGAAGGGGGCGGTGGCTGTGACGTAGACGACCTTGCCGGAGGATTCGACACCTGAAATCAAAACAGGTAGTTTTTTTCAAAAAATCATAACAATGCATTCCAACTGCATTCCTTGATTCCAAGAGAAAATATATTGGCAGTTTTGCGCGCGCTTCGATTCGGCAGTTTTCAGGATGGCAATTGTACATTGCGTATAAAAGGTCCTGTAAATTGGGCTTAAGTCAGATTTTAATTCAGGCTCTTATATTCAACCTGCAAAAAACCACAATTCACAACTATTTTGAAATTCGACCACAATTCAAAAAGATTACATGATTTCCTTTGATGATTGTTTCAGTTATTGTTTCAATCATTGTTGTATCAGGTCATAAATAGTTAAGAGTCACCTTTGATGAGAACGAAATATATGAACAGTTGAGCCAGCACAAAAGCCGCATACTGGGGAGCTAAGAAGTCCCCAATCTGATCTATGCCTGAACTCTTGCTGAGCACATTGTTCAGCCAGAACTCCTCGGCCGATGAAGTCCAGTTGTTGTCGTGGTGGATGAAGAGTTTTTGACGCTCGGAGAGACCGTGGCGACACACATATTCATCCATCACTCCATCCTAGACAAAACCAACACTGTCCTAATAGATTCAAGGAACATTATTTCCTTCCTCTCCGCATTATGTTATATTTCATCTACACTTCGTATTCGGCGGAGGAACACTGTATTCGGGTGTGTTTTAGTTTTTTTTGGTTTTCCAAGCAAAATCAGATATCACAAACGATCATGGGAATGGGTCAAGGCCTATATCATATTAAAGCCCCTTCAGTCTTCGAACGACTTTAAAAAATGTTTAAAAACTATCGACAAAAACCGATTCGAAATTTTTGATTTTTAATCTAATTTCGAGCTAATAATACAAGGTTTGTCAAAATAAGGTTTGCAGGCTTACAATAGCTTATTTAAAACTTAATTTAAGACGTAAAAATTAGTTTTATCCGAGTAACGTCAGTTTTTCAAAAATTTTGGCACCATTTTGGGAATCCAAAACTTTCAGCAAAAAAATTCAAAAATTTCAGCAAAAAAAAATTTCTTAAATTTTATTTACAATTTTTTTTCCGTTTTTCGAATCATTTTTCTACAAAAACTGTTTTCCACTTGGCCTGTTTGGCTATGACTGTCAAATATACCGAATTTCTGTTTTTTCGCTCTGATCTTTTTTATTGTTTGGACAAACTTAGAGTCAGCCGACCAATTTTGGAGTTGTTCGAGCTCATGGTATTTTTGGGAGACATTTCCTATCGGGTCCCACTCCACCCAGGCATATCCATTCGGTCGCTGCGGCATCACCAAAACGGCATGAATCATAAATATTTCATTTTATCTAATTTAAATCGTCCATCCGTCCTTTTTGCCAAACATCAGCTATTACAAATTTGACTGGCTAAAATTTTGTTCAATCAGAAGGATAGATAAAAACTGTGGTAAAACGGGACTGACTTTTCATTTTGGTACAAATAAACGTTGCAACGAACGAAACTTTACCTTAAAAAGGTTTTTTTTTGTAATTTTTGTCTTAACTTCTCTAGTTCACGAAGATGGGTTATCTTTCAAAATCTGCAAGGATCCCAAAGTATAAGACAGCAGAAATGGTAGCATAGTGATTTTGCGACCAATCAAAACTGTGGACGTGATTAGCAATTACTTTCGAGATGAAAAAATCAAAAATAAAAAAAACTAAGATAGCCAGCGGTTGTGCAAGTAGCGCAAAATTGTCCAAACTGATTAAAGAATTTCAAAAACAGAGAAAAAATTTTGAAAATCTAAACAAATTTGAATGCTATTTTTATTAAATTCAGAAAATGCTTTCGAAACAGGCAAACAAATGCTCAAAAGATAGCTAACTAACAGCTAATGAAGCCTTGAAGCTTTAGAAGAATCTGATTTAGTATGAAAAACGAAAAAAAAAAAACAGAGCATCGTTTTCTCAAACTGAGACACTTTTTAAAATTTTACTAGAATCAGAATTGCAACAAATAGCACTTTAATTTGACACCACTTTTCATCACGCACAACTTTTTCAACAAGAAGTTAAGAACAGCTGGAAAAAAATTAAAAAAAAAACAGACCCCAATCCATAGTTTTTTCACTCTTTGAGAATGGTTGCAAATTTTAAGGACAATGTTGACGATCCAATTATCAGTTGTCATGCACAAATTATGTGACCTGCCCAAAGTCAGGATGTGAATCCCTGAGATTACGGGTTTTGTGAATTTAGTTCTGCATTGACTCACCGCGATAACTTTTAGACAAATGCCGCACCGATAACATGAAGTGCGGTATGTATGTAGACAACCGCGTATGCATTCTCGTCAGTTAGCAGACAAATACGATATTAACCAATCAGAGTCGAGACAAGGAAGAAATTATTAAATAATGAATATTTATTTTGTGTAATCTCATCTCGATTCTGATTGGTTGAAATAGTATTTGTCTGCTTACTGACGAGTATGAATACGCGCTTGTCTAAATACTGCCACGCAACGCGACAGCATGCAGCGAAACGTTTTGCCGTAGTCATTCGGGATCAAGTTTTAGCAGCCACAGCAACAATGTACAAGCGCATGATAAAAAGTAAAGAAAAAGGCGGGGAATATTGCTGTTAAAATGATTGTTTCTTTGAAAATTAAAAAAAAATACACAATTCACTTTCCATTTTGTAAAAATTCACGTGTGTGCAACAATTCAGTTGTAAATGACATTTTTTGTTACTCGTCTCATAGCTTATATGAAATACCTTGCTGTGTGGACTATGCTCATAAAAGTTTTCATTGGAATAAATAGATCAGATTATTTGATTTATTTATTGCAATTGATGAATTTTATGAAGGTTTAAAACGGAATCCTGGCCAAGAATAGCACCGGTCTTTAACCTAATTAACCTTAAGCCGTTTTATCAACGAGGTAAATGATCAATCTACAAGCTGTCCAGCTCGCCGTACAGCGGCATTTGAGCCCCTGATTAAAATACTTACCTGTTCGAGACATTGTTTCAGTGGTTGATTGCACTGGTCTGTGTTCCAGAAGTGATCGCAGCCCTCCCAGGGTAGTTGGGTGGTGAATGAATTGATGAGGTAATACATCACCCATCCTAGCACTACATTGTAGTATATGGCCACGAAACAGTTGAGCAGAAACATGGAGTAGCCGATGCCCTTGAACAGAGGACAGATCTTCCAGATGGCTGTGGGACCTGTAAATAAATATACAATAGCTAGGATAACTGGTATGGGGATCTCTATAACTCTAAACCCCCCCCCTCGGGTACCTAGAAACGAATATCCTCCCCCTTTTGCAGAAGGGGGATATAGTTAAAGAGATCACAAAATGTTTCTTGCACGGCCAAGGCTATTATAAAGTGTTAGATGAAAAAGAGATATTTTTCTGCTTCTCATATCTTTTATAAGTATGAACATTTTTAAATGTTCTATTTTTCTGTTTTTTTTCTAGATAAATCTGTACAGTTGAAAAAGTTATATTGTAGAAGAATAAAGAAGAGATAGCTATCTTTGTAGAATAAAATCAGATTTCTCGTTCACTTCTTCAGCTCCCTGCGGTAAATTGCGGAGAAAAAAGAATTACTACAATAATTAACAGAATAGTCAAAACCCATCAAAACTAAATCCACTGGAAAAGTAAAAAAAAAACAGAGTCGAGGTTTGCGTTTGACTCGATCAAATATCGGTAGGTTTCAACCGCCTGGACTCAGGCTTGATATGTTTCGACCGTCTCGACCAAACCCAAGCTTGATATGTTTCGATTATATTTGGCCGAAGAAAAAAAAATCGACCGAGGCAAAGCGTTTCGTCTGATTTAGATGGAGGAGTTTTTTTGACCGAAGGGAAGTTCGACTATGAAAAAAATTTTGACCATTTCAACTGAGGAACAAAATTTCCACCGTATCTACCGAGGATTAACGAGGAGTTTTTTGACCACAAAGAAGTTCGACTATGAAAAACATTTCGACCATGTCAACTGAGGAACAAAATTTCGACCATTTTTTATAGTATATAACACTACATTGTAGTATACACTACATTGTAGTCTATGGCCATGAAACCCTCCGTTGTAATATATGGCCACGAAACAGTTGAGCAGAAACAAGGAGTAGCCGATTTCCTTGAAGAGAGGACAGATCTTCCATATGAATATGGGTCCTAGAGGTAGAGATGTAATATCTAGGATAAGTGGTAGATATTCAAGCAACACAGAATTTTCTCACCACAATCAAACTATTAAAAACTTGAACAAAATAAAGTAGATTTCTTTTCAGTTTTTGATATTTAATTTTTTCAGATAATTTTATCAAATAAAAAAGGTAGTACTGGAAAACGCCATAAGCTAGACGAAAAAAGAAAACATAGCTGACGTCATATAGTAAAATTCTTTTTCTCATTCACTCTTTCAGCTCCCTGCTGAAAACAAAGAATTACCACAATAATTAACAAAACAGTCACAACCCATCAAAACTAAAACCACTTGAAAGTTTAAATGAACCCGGGTCTAGGTTTGCGTATTATGTTTTGACCGACGCGAACAATTAATTATCGGTATATTTAGATTATCTCATCCTAGGCACGATATGTTCCGACTGTCTCGACCCAACCTAAACTTGATATGTTTTTACTATATTTGACCGAAGAAAAACAATCCGACTGAGTTCGACCAGGAAAAAACGTTTTCACTGATTTCGACCCAGGTGTTTTTGAAGAAAAACATTTTGGTTGAGTTCGACCAAAAAATATTTTCGACCGAAGAGAAATTCAATCGAGGGAAAGATAATAAAACCAAACTAAACTTGAGAAGTTTTTTCGACCGAAGAGATGTTTGACGCAGCTGATGTTTGTTTCGACTCAACACTCTGAGATTAAGGTTTTCCAATGAGAGGGTTTTTTGGATTTTTTCACAGTTTTTGTGTTTCGAAATTGAGTTCAACTTCATAATTTAACTTTATGTTTCGACTTTGTGCTCGACTTTATGTTTGCACTTTGAGTTCGACCAATAGGCTTTGTCAACTGTGGATTTTTGGAAAATCTGACCTGTGTTCGACCCGCCTCGGTCAAAAATTAAATCGCAAGCCTCAACCCGGAAAGCTAAAATTATTTTACTTCAGCACACTTGAAGGCCTCTAAATAGTTTTAATTTAAAAGAAAAATTAACAGCCTCTCCCCTTGAGCATTTTAGGGAGAGAATGATAATTGGTTCTACGTTGAATTTTTCAGCCAATTGGAACTTGGCAGTTTTCACGCAAGGCTAGGTAATTTCATTGAAGGTTGGAGGTTGTAAGTAGATCTTTTCACGTGGAAATTTTAATACAACCTGAATAACGAATCAAAAATTTTCAATGTGATATATCATTCATTTTCCTATGAAGTGTTGCATGTTACCTGATATCGCATGTACAAAACTCGGTTCCATGACAATCCATCCCGAGCAAAATTTACGGGATAGTTCGGCCTGCCAATTATCGTCGGGTTTTTGGCCGAGAGTTTCAGAGCACAAAAAATAGATTTAAAGCGCCTGAAGTTGTTTCACCGAGTGAACATGCAAAAGAATCACCTATTTATGGCAAGTTTCTTTTTAAGCATTTCATCGAGATAGCAGTGGCTAGCTTATCTGACTTCACTGTAAGAGCTCGGAGTTTCGAGACTTTCTGTCGTTCGTGTTACGTTTTCTAATTCCTGTTTCAACCAATGGGGTATTGACAAGGTCAATGTTAACCAAAACTAACTTTTTCTGTACGTAAATAGTTCAATTTATGTATATATTTGAACTTTAGGGATCTCTAAATAGCACCTAACATTTCAGGAAAAAGACACGAGTAAAATAGCTGTAGCGTATCATTTTCACAGCCCTATGATTTGATTTTTTCATTCAAATCTTGAAAAAGTTTTTTTTGTCTGATTTTTTTCACGAGTCCGATCCTATTTTTTGTGAATACTCCAAATCGAATGGCATTTTCCAAAGACTTCTTTTTGTAGATGTTTGAAAAACAACAATTTTTTGAAATTGTGGAGTTAAAAAGAGTTTTTTTCTCGGTTTCTACTGTTGAAACAAAAGTCAAGTAACTGTAGATAGCAACTGTCCACTGGAGCGTTATGCTCCTGGAATTACTTTGAAAGACCACTGACCTCGACTGGAGTACTGAGCTAGAGCCTGTTCCAGGAAGTAGTATGGAATACCCACTGTGAACAACATGAACGCGTATGGAATCAGGAACGCCCCTCCCCCGTTGGCGAAAGTCCTGAAAAGGGAGGTGCAGTCGGTCACAATTTACCCTCAATTATTCAAACGAGAAACAACTGTAAACTTCTTATCAAAAGGAACTGGGACCAGTTCAAAAACCAGTCGCCATACCTTTGGAGGAAATGTCGCTTGTTCCTATACTTTTAAATGCCGAGTCAGTTTTTTTGTAGAAGTTGATAGCGGCTTGTAACAAAAGGAGGAATTTAATGTACTAATTTTGTGGGGAAAATGCTTATATTCAATCAAAATCAAATATTTACTGCTTTTCAATTGTTTAAAAACTTTGATCTTTACCTGTAAGGAAATCTCCAAATGTTCCCGAATCCGATGCAGTATCCGATCGCCGACAGGATATACTCGAAGTATGAACCCCATTGGCCTCGGTCGTTAATCGCAGTCTCGGGTTTGTCGTCTGAACTTGAAGCTTGTGAATCGTTATTTCCAATTCCTGTTTCGGATCCATTCATAATTGTTGAGTATTTTTGGTGTTCTTAGAATATCTAGTTAGTTGGTAAACGTAACCATTAAAATATTGCCGGTCTGGCTTAAGTTCTAATTTCAAAAACGAAACTTTGTAAAATCAAAAACAAAAGCATGAAACAATCGCTGATTTAAAAAGAGACAAAGTTTGTTTGCATATAATTTAATCGAGTAAAACGCTCATGCAACTGAGTTTAGGCCAGAGAATGGTCGTACTGCGATCTGCAGCTACCAGAATAAACGTGTTTTTATTGATCACACTGTTAAATCTCAATTATCGTATTTGGTTTCATGCTGAAAACGTCTTTCGTTCGCTTCGCAGGTTCAAACCGAATCCCACAAAACTTTCTGGCTCCGGAAATCTCGAGCTGCCGAATATCCATTAGCAGCTCAAAAACTGTGTAAACGAGACTTTCAAAATACCAAATCACGTTGCATTTGGAGTTGTTTGTTTTTATCTATGCGGAGAAATTTGAATAAGAAAAACACGTTGATGATTAAAAATTGGTGTCTGTAACCACCAAGTAATAGGTATGAATGTAGAATTCAAGGGTCTTTAGTTCACGCGAAGTCAAGCTCTTCAAAAAACTTTGCAATCGGAACAAATGATATATTGTTTTAGAAACCTTTTAATCGAGCTACAACAAAAAAATCCAAAAAAAAACAACAATTCAGGGATAAGTGCTTAAGTTTTTCGAAGACTAAGACTTAAGTTCTAGTATGTTTTGTTCAGGCTATAATTCATGCCGATCAAATTTTGAATTTCAATTTGATTTTTTTATTTTTTCCAAAAATCATTGCTAAAAACTTTCTGCGCTACAAAATTTTTTAAAAATAGCTGGTTGCAGCTGTCTAAAAACGCTCCTACTATGGGATGACATCCAATCTGATTCATTTTATTAATTTCTAAAATTCTAGCTTTGCTTTTTGAGTTTTTTGAGTACTTTTTTTTTACTTAAATCCCGGCAAAATAGCGGATTTTCAATTAATTTCATGAAATTTTGAATTGAAAAAATTGCAAATTCAATGCCGATTCAGCTATAATGTATAATCTAGAAGATTTATCAGATAAATGAAAAATGGAATATCTTCAATTATTTCCCCTTCTAGGGTACCTAGTAATAAATTGCCATCGCTATAAAGAAATAATTCAATGGTTAAGCATATGTGAAATTTGTACCTACAAACAAATCTTCCTCCCTTTGACAAGGGGGGAAATAGTTAGAGAGATCCGAGAAATTTTGCTTTCAGATCTATAGGTAAAGCAAATTCGAAATAAATACTAGAAAAACATAAAAGTTAAGCAAGAGAAGCAAACTGTAAAAAAATATATCAGACAAACAGTGACAAATAAAATGATAAGAAATATACTCATGAGACTGCTACATGAACTCAGAGGTTTCCAGCGTAATTATTCTTTAAGTAGTCAAAAACCTCGAAAATTAAATTGATCCTGAAATAATCGGTACAAAAAAAAATCTTCTACTCAACTAATTGCTCATCAATTTAGATCTTTTTATCAATAAGTTTTCTGAATTTGTTTATGCTTTTAGCTCAATTGTTTTATTTAAAAGTTCTCATTCAAAAAAATATATCAATGGAGATGAAAACTGCTGAGTATGGAATTGTTTGTTGCCAAGGATACAAAGATTTACTCCAACAAAAAAGGAGTACAAAGATGTAACGTAGATATTTGAAGGGGCTTAGTGGTGAGGAAAACACAAAACTGCTCGTATCAGGGCAAAGCGCTGAATCTTCCGACTGCATTTCATTTTGTATGTAGTTCGAATTGAAAAATTGACAAATTTTTCGAACAAACTCCAAGGTGACTTTTTTTGCAAATAGAAATAATTTGAAAGGAGCAAAAATCAAACCTCAACCCCATTTGGAACGATTTCTGAGACGGAATAAATTCCGCTTACGCTTTAATAGCATGAAATATATCGCGCTTAATTGTCCCAAATTGGCAAAGTTTAACTTTACAAAAAAAGATCAGAGGTGTAATTTGAGCTCAGGACAACAATACTGATTGAATGTTATCAGTTTACCGAAAAAATTAAGTTGACTTCAAACAAACGCATATGCATTTTCTTCTTCTAATGACACAAAAATCAAATAATGTTTAATTCAATTGCGCCAAAATTTTCAATGCAAATTTACAGAGTTAGATTTGCAAGAGACCTACGATCAACATAAGGTATTAGGATGCTGTGCTCTTTGAATTTTCATGCAGATGTCACACTTCTAGTCTGCCTTGGACATGCATAGTCTACCTTCTGACATTTTACCCTCAGTAATTGATAAATTTTGCGAACAGTAACAATCTACAAACAGTTGACTAGCTGGCTTTGTGCTTGAAGAAACCTGGATTTAAGGAGAGTTAAATCAAAAACAGCAGCATGCGCTCAGCTCTCTTGAATCACTTTGACATTAAGACTACAGGTCTTTTTGGTCCCATCCCTGCGTTAGAAGGCTGGTCCAGCGTTAAGACTTGTCTTTTTCAAGGCAACTGCCTTTCTTTCACCTATTTTTGGAAAGAATTCAGCTTCATTTCATTGAACTAAATAAAAATATTGGAACTTTTCACTTCGAGCTGAAGTTGACTTTACACGCATTTTCATAAGTGAGCATTGCATCAAATGCACTCTATTATAAAAATCTGAGTCCAACAAAAGGCCGATTTATGAAAAAAAGTATCTTGAACTTAATAACCTTGATCTGTTTTTAAATTACCTGTATATATTTTTTTGTTCACTAAGTATATATATTATTTGAGGCTAAAAAGATATTTGGGTTATTGTTGAATGGAACGGGACATGCAAGCAGGGGGAAAATGAAAGAGATTTTATGTCTCAAAATCAAAAATTTTACTCGTGAACCATCAAAACTCGAAAAAAAAGCTGAAAAAGAACTCTTCATAATTTCGAACTCTTGATTCTTTATCGTCCAAAACATACGATGATGCGGGAAAAAACTTCAGCTATCTAAGCTGAAAGAAGACAATTTGAAAAAGTAAATTCAAGTTGAAAAGTCGACTGGATGATTGGTGCACCATATGGAAGGGTCCAAATAGACAGGTACTTGTCTAGACGGAACACATATTGTACAGAAACTGCATTTTTAAAATTCACTCATAATACTCATTGTAAAATTATATCGAAATATACGATTGGGAATGAATCAGAGAAGCGACTGAAAAAAAAATGAGTTCACATCTTCAAAAAAAAAGATGAATTCGATGAATCAGCATAGCCTACAGTTTGTTCGTTTTTGATGTTTGTCGGTGTTTTTCAAGTTCAAAACTGTCTTTCGCTCTTCGGTTTCTGCGTACCACATGGATTTTACCAGACTCTCAACTGCCTTTTCCACGTTCACGCCATCCCAAGCCGACACTTCAAAGAACTCCATTTTATTTTTGGCAGCCAGATTTCGGCCAGACTTTGCCGACACGAAACAATGTTCGTTTCCATTTTGTTCAATTCTGCTTCTGCTAGAATCATTTAGAAATAACTCAGAAGTGTACACATCTGATTTATTAGCGCAGATAATAGCTGGTAGGTTGCTTCCAGAGTTGACTAAGCGGGATTGCTGGATCCACCACTGGATGTCACTGAAAGATCTGTGGTTGGAGCAGTCGTAGACGAAGATGATTCCGTCGGCTCTTCTGAAGTAGCTCCTGGAAACGGGGCAGAACTCTTCGCTTCCAGCTGTGTCGAAGAACAAGAGGTGCGCTAAGTACTGGTTGTCAAGAATAAACGATTTCTCAAAGAAATCACAACCTAAACACCAAAATTATGGGCGTTTTTACAAACTTTGCGAAAAGTAGCAGACAAAAACTTTGCGCGGGAGATGCTTAATGTAACTTTGGTTTGACTGATCACTTACCAAGTACAACTAGATAATCTTGTTTTTTTTTCTCTTTTTTTTGCAACGTGAATTAATTGTTCTTGTTTCCAATCTGAGTTATGAAAAATCATTAAGTGGTTTATTGGTTAAGCATATAAAAAAATGTTAGTTATGTAAAAACTCGATCAGAATTTTTACAGGTTTTTTTTTGTGCGGCAATTGATATTATATTTACCGATAGTTGACTGAACTTTTCTTTTCACAGTTCCCCGACAAGCTCGCATCAGCAGACTAGTTTTACCCACGTTACTATTCCCGACAACAACCACGCGGTAACTCCTCTCCTCCCGCGGAGTACCTGACTTGCGCAGTCTTATGATATCTCCCTTGTAAAATTCAGGCGGCGGAGTATTGATTAGATAAACCTTGTCTTTGTCTGTATTTGCGTATAGTTGAGATATTTCATCAAATGATGAATCCAGAGATCCAACATCTGCTTCGGTCAATTTTTTCTGGGCATTCGAGTTCAAAGGTGAAGCGATCTCTTCGCTTTCGTTTTCAACGACCGGCAATTCTTCGTCAAACTTGTTTTTATGCTCAACTAAAACAAAATTAATGATTGATCTAAAATATAATTTTTTGTATTTATGTCCTCGTGATTTAGGAATGGATTTGAGATCTCCGCGAAATTATTGTTGATGCTCAAATTTCAAAAAAGTAAGATTTGATTTGATTTACTTAGCGTGTTTATAATTCGACTTTTTAGTTTTAGTTTGCAAGTAAGGATTTTATGTCGAAATTGATGCTATCATTGCCGACATAAGAAGCAGAAAACTCGATACAAGCAGAGGTGGATCACATAATCACCAATACAAACTCCGACGCACTGCTATCTCGATGAAATGCTTAAAAAGAAACTTACCATAAATAGGTGATTCTTTTGTATGTTCACTCGGAGAAACAACTTCAGGCGCTTTAAATCTAGTTTCTCTGCTCTGAAACTCACGGCCAAAAAGCCGACGATAATTAGCAGGCCGAACTGTCCCGTAAATATTGCTAGGACTTACGTCGAATTCCGGGTAATTGTCACCGGAATTATTCCTAATAGAATATTTTATTCGTTCACGTCTGCGCGAAGACCGCGGCTGAATTGATTGGGTCATTAAATCAAAATTATCCTGAAAGATTTGTCTTTGTATTTTGTTTGGTGCGTTATCCATTTCGTTCATTTGATCGTTCAATTCATTGGGCGGATGGTAGGTACTAGCTAACGACATTGGACGTGCACACTCCGTCACTTTTCTAACAGTTATAGGGTTCAAATTGTTGAAATTTTGGTTTCGATTTGATTTAAGCGTAGCCGGATTTTTCGATTGTCCGAAGCTGAGCTCCGAATTGTTAGTGTCAGTTCTAAGGTCGGAATCAATTTTTTCCCGATTGTTTTGATAGCTCGATTCGTGAAATTTCGAATACTGATAAGCAGCGTTGTGATAATTAAACGAAGTATTCGGTCCCGAGTATTCATTCACGAATCGGGAACTCCCCGAATCCGAGTAGTGAATTGCTTGCTCATCGGTCAAATCCTTGCGAGTATTTTGATTAGGATTTCTTGTTTCGTGAGTTTGAGTTTTCCGAGGGCGACTATCTGCCTCGTTACTTGTTTGACTCATATTTGGCTCGCCAGTGCTCAAACGAGGCTCCGAACGGCTTCTGGCGGGCAATGAAGAAGAAGCTCGGCTCTTGATGATACTTTGAGTTTCGTTTATCTAAAAATGTCACAAGAGCTTATTTCACAAGAACTCGGTTACGTATTAGTTGATTCGCAAAGCAATGAGGCCGGTACAAGCTTCCCAAACAAAAACAATTCAGTTGGAAGAAAAGCACAAAAAAAACTGCTCGTATCAGGGTGAAGCCCTGGATATTCCGACTGCCTTTTAAGGCCTATAGAGCAGTAATAACATTTAAAAAATAAGTGTAATAAAATAAAATGAAATCTTTTTTTTTCTAAAATTTGAAATTTTTTATGAATATCATCCCCCACACGCCATATAAAGTACAAAAGAATAGATTTTGCTTCTTGTAACAAATCAATTATGGTAAATAAACTTCTTTTAACCAATTTGCAACGATTTCTGAGACGGATTAAATTTCCGCTCACGCTATAATAACGAGAAATATATCGCGCGTTAATTGTCCCAAATTGGCCAAAATGGCAATCTTTAAACCCCCATAATTTCACAAAAAATAATTACAGGTAAAATATATTTTCATATTTGGGCTCAAGACAACAATACCTTATGAACGATATTAAAAGCCACGTCAACATGGCTAGCTAACAAGTCGAAATTTGTCTGAAGAAAAAACCCACCCCGAGCACAAATATTCCGTTTCTTTCGTATCGAAAGCCGAAACAACAATGTATCATCGTTAGAAATTTTATCTTTGACTAAACCACTAACAGCATTTTATCACTTGAGACGTTAACGCTCACAGAAAACATGTTTTTAAGAAAAACATTTAGCCGACCAAAAACAAGTAACAGGAAGTTCATTGTTTTTTTTAAAAACTCAAACTTCGGTTGGACTTTTCAAAAAATGATTTAAAAAGCTTTTCAAATCAATCACTTAGAGAATTAACATTTTTGATCTCACTTGCCCTCTAGCTTGCTGTAATAGTGGTACTACATAACCATTCCAGATACAGGAAAAACCTCAAAAATGGCAAAAAAATAGTTTGGATCAACTAACTACTAATTCTGGAATGTGGGGATAAAGTTACTATCTTTAAATAACTTTTGATAAATCCTCTCCAAAATGCACATACGACAATTTTTTGGTGAAAATATTTTTATTGCAGAAAAACAAAAACTTTTAGAAAATTTTAGTGTGAAAAGTTAATGAGGGTCCGCTGAGCTAGAACAGTAAATCTGAAGCCAAGCACGACCGACAGCAAGTAAACCTATATAAAATTGGCAACAAAAGCAATTCAACTGTCGTAAACAGCATCAGAGGAAAACTTTACCAAGAAACAGTATTTTCCAATATTCTTGAACTTTTGGATGGGAAACCTGTGAACCGCAGTGTACATTTATCAATTTCTAACATTCAACATTTGTAGCGACAAAAAACACCAAGCTTGGGCTTAAAGCTTAGCAAACGTTTTCAACACTCCCACTCCCCCCCTCCATTAAACCAAGTCTAGATCCTCCACCGTAGCGTTCAATTTAAATTTATAGAGCACTTTAAACCGTTGCGTGTAAAGTGCTCTATATGGATTGGCTGATAATTCGAACTGGGAACTAAGTTAACATCCTCACCCCTAAATGACTTTAAGGGGAGGGGGAGGGTGGAGATGAGAAGATTTACTTAGTCCCAATTTTATGCGTTCTTCTTCTCATTAAATTAGCATGCTTTCAGGAAAAAAGAATATGAAATATTTCAAAGGTTTTTGGTCTTTTTGTTGACATAATCTTGTCAGCCTAATTTTTTGAAGTTTCAGTCGACATTTTTTGAATGATACCTGATCTTTAAAATACAGCAAAAAACGTTTCAAGTCAGTTTTCTCATTTTATGGTAGTCCTAAGAAAACATCAATTTTTGAGAAGAAACATCATTTGCCAAAGACAAAGTTTGGTTACAGGAAAGTTGCTCGAGCAATCAACTGGAACTATGAATTGAAGAGGTAATTTTTGGATCTCTTTAACTATTCCCCCCTTTTTCAAAAGAGGGAGGGGAGATTCAATACTTGATACAAATTTGACATATGCCTAACCATTGAATTATTTCTTTATAGGGGTGGCAGTTCGTTACAATGTATTCTCGGGGGGGGGGGCAAGTAAGAAATCTGAATTAATTTTTCTGAAGCTTTAGCAGTTTGAACTGTTTCTTAATGTTATTTACTTGTTCCATTGTGCCAATCTGCCTATGCAAGGAGAGGATGGTTTTTCTCAGTTCTTTCTTCTTTACTTGTTCCGCCGAAAGATCTGAAAAACAATTTAATCTTCAATGTTTTTTTTTTAATTTATTTTTTTCATTTTTGCCTTTTCAAGATAATGTTTTCAATAAATGTCAAAGTTTTTTCCACCGAAAATGAACTAGCTGTCAGTCAAATTTTGTCCACCGAAAATGAACTAGCTGCCAGTCAACTTTTTTTTCTACCAAAAAATGAACTAGCTGCCAGACAACATTTTTTCCTACCAAAATCGAACTAGCTGCCAGACAACATTTTTTCCTACCAAAAAATGAACTAGCTGCCAGTCAACATTTTTTTTCTACCAAAAAATGAACTAGCTGCCAGACAACATTTTTTCCTACCAAAAATGAACTAGCTGCCAGACAACATTTTTTCCTACCAAAAAATGAACTAGCTGCCAGTCAACTTTTTTTTCTACCAAAAAATGAACTAGCTGCTAGACAACATTTTTTCCTACCAAAAAATGAACTAGCTGCCAGACAACATTTTTTCCTACCAAAAATGAACTAGCTGCCAGACAACATTTTTTCCTACCAAGAAATGAACTAGCTGCCAATCAACTTTTTTTCCTACCAAAAATGAACTAGCTGCCAGACAACATTTTTTCCTACCAAAAATGAACTAGCTGCCAGGCAGCATTTTTTCCTACCAAAAATGAACTAGCTGCCAGACAACATTTTTTCCTACCAAAAATGAACTAGCTGCCAGACAACATTTTTTCCTACCAAGAAATGAACTAGCTGCCAATCAACTTTTTTTCCTACCAAAAAATGAACTAGCTGCCAGACAACATTTTTTCCTACCAAAAATGAACTAGCTGCCAGGCAGCATTTTTTCCTACCAAAAATGAACTAGCTGCCAGACAACATTTTTTCCTACCAAAAAATGAACTAGCTGCCAGACAACATTTTTTCCTACCAAAAATGAACTAGCTGCCAGGCAACATTTTTTCCACCGAAAATGAATTAGCTGCCAGTCAAAACTTTTTCCACCGAAAATGAATTAGCTGCCAGTCAAAACTTTTTCCACCGAAAATGAATTAGCTGCCAGTCAAAACTTTTTCCACCGAAAATGAATTAGCTGCCAGTCAAAACTTTTTCCACCGAAAATGAATTAGCTGCCAGTCAAAACTTTTTCCACAGAAAATGAGTTAGCTTTCTGATAGATAATTCGCTTCACAAAAAAAGTCGCAGTCACTTTCCAACTTTTGTCAAAACAGGCATTTAACATTCAGCCACAAACAAAAGTATAAAGTTTGTTTAGTTTTGACTTAACATTCAAAAAATTAACCGTTCTGACTATCTTCGAACTTGATTTGGAGACTAAACATTTCGTCTTGCAGATCCAACATGCTTCGTTCGGCTACCAGAGCGATTTCCCTCAAGTTCTGATTAGCACTCTCAAGTGCACTTAGCATAATGTCTGTTTCGGATACTTCATTCACGTTTGGAGTTTCTTCATGCTCGATTTTCATCGAGTCTACTTTTTCACGGATGTTTTCTAGTTGTTGATGCAATTTCTCTTCAATTTCTTTCTGTTTGGCACCTGCAGCCTTAAATCAAAATGCTACAAATTGGATCTTTCATATTACTTCTAAGTAATAAATCATTATTCAAGTATATTTCAATATATGACTTATTACTATTTTGATTCCAATTTTTCTTGACACTAACATTTTTTTGTGAATTTTTTTTTGGAATTCGAAAAAAGCCAATAAGACTTCAAAATTATACCACACGAGTTTTCAATGCGTTAACTAAAAATGACCGGAAAAACACGTCAAACTACTAGTTTCTGTCCACTGTGTAAAATGGTCGGAACAAAATTCTTGTTGAGTTTGGAGAAAAAATGTTTGAAAACGTATTTTTTTTTGTTTTTTTTTGTGGACAACATCAATAGTTGCGGTTTCTGCGAATCTCAGACAATCTATAAAAAGCTATTCAACTTGTCTAAGCATAGTCCATTTCTATTATTTCCCCACATTCCAAAATGAATTATTTTGTTGAGCAAAGCTTTTTTTTTGCGACTCAAGGACGTTTTTGGGGACAAGGACTTCCACGTTTTTGGGCTCTGGGACTTCCACTATTGCAGTCGAGATTGGTCAGTCGGTGGTGAACCTGAAGACAGAGGTGACGTGATATCTCGTCCTCACACACCATCATTGCCATTGTAAGAGATTGCATTCACGATTTAGCAATTTTACTATGCTAAAAGCCTCTAAAAAGAAAGTGGAGACAAATTGTATGAAACTTTCACTACTATTACCTTGTGTGCGACTTCTTTGACAACTTGTTCTGTCTTGTCAATGGAACACTGCAGCTCGTAGTGGAGTTGGTCGACAGTCTCACATCGCTCGTGAGAAATCCTGCAACAAACCTAGTCGCATGTATGGCCTCACTAAGACTCATGAGTAAGAAAAGATCATTAAGACTCATGAGTGGCTCATGAGTACTGCAAAATCATTAAGACTCATGAATGGCTCATGAGTATTGCAAAATCATTAAGACTCATGAATGGCTCATGAGTATTGCAAAATCATTAAGACTCATGAATGGCTCATGAGTATTGCAAAATCATTAAGACTCATGAATGGCTCATGAGTATTGCAAAATCATTAAGACTCATGAATGGCTCATGAGTATTGCAAAATCATTAAGACTCATGAATGGCTCATGAGTATTGCAAAATCATTAAGACTCATGAATGGCTCATGAGTATTGCAAAATCATTAAGACTCATGAATGGCTCATGAGTATTGCAAATTCATTAAGACTCATGAATGGCTCATGAGTATTGCAAAATAATCAGGACGAATGAATGGCTCATGAGTAAGACAAAAATAATATAGGAGTCTTTATTTGCGAGGGAAAAGACCAGGGGCGGATTTAGGGGGGCAGACGAACCCCCCTCACAAACCTAAGGAGGCCCCCTTTGGTATTATTTTAGGACATCCTTTTTAGACCGATAAATCGTTAAAATTGTGTCATAGTATCTAAATTTAGTTCATGTTTCAATTCTAGTCGTGTTATCTATTTCAATTATCTGTCTGGCGCTAACCGGTATTTAACCTACGGAGTTTGTCTGTCACCTTCGGATGACAGCTATCTTATTGTCTCCGACTTACTTTCTGAACTAGTGTTTGCTTATTAACAAGACATTTAATTCATACATCGAAACCGTCTTTTCACATGGCGCAGCCAACAGGCCAAAGTGGGGGGAAGAACCCACTGGGAATTACATCGTTTTGGCCCTCGACGCTCGCAGAACCACCAATGCTATGGGAGTTTTGGTTCAATCGTTTTATATGGGGGATGGTGGCCAAACATAGCATAAATCCACGGAACTTCTATTATGCCAGTACGTTAACAGCAGCGCAACTTGCAGATTTACCAGAGGAGGTCGATGGGAAAAATCGCCTGGTGTCGGAGCAAACGCTTATCTCGAATTTGTATTTGTGCCTGGGGGAGAAAGGACAGGATGAGCTACATAAAAGAAAACCACACCTGGATCTCGCTGCAACAAGGTATTCTCGAGTTTTGGATACTATCGAAACCGAATTTCGGAAGGAACGAAACGAAACTTACGAAACATTCCAACTATTGGCACGAAAGCAACAAATAGGAGAATCGCTGGAACAATTCCACTCACTGTTGAGTGGGTTAGCCGCTCGATGTAATTTTGGAGCATTGGAGACCAGGATTTTTCGGGATCTGTTCATCGTAAATATGAACAATAGGGAGGCCCAAAATGAGCTATGCCGCTCGACGAAGACACCAGAGGAGGTGTACCGTATTGCACTTTCATATGAACGTGGATTCAAATATGCTAAGTCATACGGATCGATAACCGGGGGAGGAGCTAGTGGGAATGCCGGCGGAGCTGGTGCGTTCCAAATCAAGACGGAACCAGTGGGGGCCATCCGAGGTGGTTACAGAAACAACAGACAGCGGGGCCGCGGATCGTTTAGGGGTAGAGCAGACATGAGAGGGGGTGGTGCCAGAAGATGCTATAATTGTGACCAACCCAATTTTACTCCGGAGCACCTCACAACGTGTCCAGCGAAAAATGCTACGTGTAACTTCTGCAGGAAGACGGGACATTACGAGAGGACTTGTAGGGGAAAGCGAAATAATCGGGGAAGACCGGCAGTGGGACTGATTCAAAATCAGGAAGATATGGAAACTACTGAAGTAGACGACGCGGAGGATACATATTCCCAGCACGAGAATTCCGTCGGCTGGGTTAATACGCCGGTCAAGAAACAACCGGACAAGAAACAACGATCGTGGGATTCGGATAGCTCAGGGGATTACGTTGTTATGGCCATCAAATCTCGGAAAGAAACAGATCTAAAAGTGGCCGGCCCCCGACTACCAATTAAGGTAAACGGAAAGCAAACAAACGTGTGGATAGACAGTGGATCACCGATTTCGATATTCACCATTGGGGAATTGAAACGGACATTGGGCACCGCAGGCGTCAAGGTGAAGGCACCGGCACCGGAGGATGAGGAGTTCAGGGATTACGGAAACAACCCATTACGACTACTAGGAACGATGGACGTACTATTAGAAACAAACGGATGGGTGGCCAACGCAAATATCAGAGTGATTGGAGGAAGCAGACCATCAATTATTGGACGAGACCTAATGCCAAATCTTGGATTACAGATCGTGCAGAAGGCACCGGAGGAAAATGTGATGTCGGTACAGAGCGATCAAGGCACAGTTGAGGAGACGGATGTGGAGGACTCACTAGACAACTGGCAGATCTACTTCAGTAAGCAGTTTGAAAATCTTTTTAACAGAGTCGGAAAAATTAAGAATTATAAGGTACACGCGGATTTTTTCGAAACGTTAACGCCAATTCAACAAAAAGGACGTAGAGTGCCCATCACGTTGCAAGAAAAGGTTGATAAAGAAATTGATAAACTTTTACGGCAAGGACACATTGAAAAGCTAAAGGAATGTTCGGATAAATATTTTGTTTCCCCGATTGTAATAACAGTGAAAAAGGACGGATCAGTAAAATTAGCGCTAGAATCAAGAGTTAAACAAGCAAGTCCACAAAAATAAATACCAAATGCCGAATATAGAGGAGCTTATGGATACGGTAGGACAAACGATTAGCGAACGGAAATCAGGGGACATATATTTTTCTACTATGGATCTTACGTACGCGTACGGCCAATTACCACTTAGCCCGGAAACGAGCGTTCAATGCAATTTTTTGCTGGTGGGAGGAAAATCAACGGGCACGTACCGCTTTCGTACGGGGTTCTACGGTCTTAATACCATGCCAGCTGAATTTCAACGAGTAGTGGACACGATTCTTGCGGAATTTCCGCAGGCACATGCTTTTATTGATGACATCTTGGTGGTCACCAAAGGCACGGAGATCGAACATATCTCGACAGTTGAAAAAATTTTGCGAAAGCTGGATCGCGAAAACATGGCACTTAAGTTCATTAAATGCCAATTTGCGCGGAAAGAATGTGAATGGTTGGGACACAAAATAACCCGTACAGGAATAACACCACTCGTCCGGAAAACAGATCCGATCGAATCGCTGAAAGCACCAAAAACGGTGTCACAACTTAAATCGTTCATGGGCTCCATTCACAGTTTGCACAAATATCTTCCGGCGCTCGCGGAATCATCAGCGTCATTACGCCCATTATTAAGCCGGAAAAACGATTTTGTCTGGAGCGATGAATGTCAAATATCATTCGAGAACCTGAAAAAGCAAGTGGCTAATATAGTGGAACTTCGGCACTTTGATATACACAGAGACACAAGAATTGTGTGTGACGCTAGTCATAATGGGCTCGGAGTGGTCCTTGAGCAACTAAATTCCGACGGTTGGCGGCCAATATCATTCGCATCCCGGTATTTGAACGCAGCAGAAAAAAATTACTCAACGAATGAATTGGATATGTTAGCAGTTGTGTGGGGCGCGGAATACTTCCGAAATTATGTGCTGGGAAGAAAATTTTTAATAGTTACGGACCATAAGGCATTAGTGTCATTGCTAAATGGGAACAACAAAAAGAACAAAACAGTGTTCAGCAGATTAACAAGATGGTTAGATCGTCTTATACCGTTCGACTTTTAAGTGGAACATAAACCCGGAGCAAAAATAGGACTCGCTGATTATCTTTCAAGGCACCCGTGTTTAAATCCTAAACCGATTAGCACCTACGATAGTATGTTTACGGTCGCGAAAATTAGTAGAATTAGATCCGCTCTCGGATTTAGAAATAAACTCGAGTCTCCATCGGTTACTAATAATAGACGCATTTGTAATATATCGAATAGAAAACGACCGGTAGAGGGCAAGCGATCATGCGACGGAAATTGGACCAATCACAGAGCGACGAATTGCATTCCCGGCAGGTCAATTGAGTTTAGCAAAAATTCAGTTGGGACTATTATTGAAGCTAACTTTGGTTACTCAAAATCTTTAAACTCGTCAATCAACATTAACAATTCAAGCTATTTAATCATGGAAAGGAAACTCAAGAAATTATTGGAACGACACCCCAGCATTAGCAGTAGTGATGATATAGAGGAGATTGATGTAAATATACAGGCGGTTACAACAGAAGTCCGGAGCACTAAAACCAACACCATTATTTCGATTCCGTCGGTTTACCCTGGTGAGAGTTATCCACCGGTCAATCCGGAAAATAAAGTCATGTCTATTATACCAAGAAATTATAAAGTAGTCAGCAAACAATCCGCTCTTCCCGAATTATTTAATCTTCGATTTATAGAATCGCAATACCAGTCTGATCCACAGTTACAAGCTATTATCGAGTTAATTAAATCTAAAGACCCCCAGTTACACTCGAAAATTGCAGCAATGAGTAAGTACTTCGCACAGTATACTCAGGACTTCCACGTAAGAGACGGATGCCTGTGGATGGACGAGAGGCTAGTGATTCCTAATACTGTGCAGACGGCGGTGGTCAATAGACTCCACTATTATCACCACGGGAAATCCAGCATGATCGACGCCGCTAAGGACGTCTGGTACCCTTACATGTTTGGTAGTCTCGCAACTATCGCTGGGAATTGTCCGGAATGCACATTAGCGGGTAAGAACTTGAAAAACATGTGTTCGAAGGACGATATAGGGAAAATAGCTGAACCAAAAGAGCCGAATGAATCAGTCCAACTGGATTTTTGGGGACCCATTAACTACTTGAAGGAATCTAAAAAGTATGTTTTGGTGGCGGTGGACCGGTTCTCTCGATGGCCATCAGCTATGGTCTGTAATTCGAACCGTTCGGATAAAATTATAAAATTTTTAAAAGCCTACATAATCGCTCATGGAGTTCGGCGCCAAATCAGAGTTGACCAG